GCGTGACCCGCTGCCTGGAGCGCGTTTGGCGTGAGTGAAGCTGTTTAGGTAGACATTTTTGTGCGTGTGTGTGTGAATTTGAAGCCCACGCTTAAGGCGACAAACACCAAGGCGACGGCATCTAAAGAAATGTCTCGGCGTTAACCACACAACTAGCGGCAGCTCATTCATCATTGGACCTACACACAATCGTCGTCTCCAGCCAATCACTCTTCTCATCATGTCGAGAATTGATAAGCTCTCCATCTCCGGCGTCCGGTCCTTCAGCCCGGCTGTTCGGGAGGCCATTCAGTTCAATACCCCGTTGACGCTCATTGTTGGCTACAATGGATCCGGAAAGACAACAATCATTGAATGCCTGAAATATGCAACCACGGGCGAACTGCCTCCCAACAGCAAGGGCGGTGCCTTCATTCACGATCCAAAGGTATGACCAAACTTCTTCGCTGTTGGTGCCTGCGTCAGTATCGTGCGTGCTTCTCGCTAATGCCAACCATCTCGCATCCAGCTCGCTGGAGAAAAAGAGGTCATGGCCCAGGTCAAACTGCAATTCCGCTCCATCAACGATCGACAGCATGTGGCAACCCGAAGCATACAACTCACCGCGAAGAAGAACACCCGCACTCAAAAGACGCTTGACTGCTCATTAGTCGTCGTCAATAATGGAGAGCGAACAACGACATCAACCAGACAGGCCCAGCTTGACGAGATGATTCCTGAGCGGCTCGGCGTTTCCCCAGCTATTCTCGACGCCGTTATTTTCTGTCACCAGGACGAGTCTCTTTGGCCCTTGAGTGAGCCTGGAGCCTTGAAGAAGCGCTTTGATGAAATTTTTGAGGCTTTGAAATACACAAAAGCTATTGAAAATCTCAAGGTGGTCCGGAAAAAGCAGGTAGAGCAGCTTGCAATACTCCAAGGTGATGAGGCGCACCACAAGGTCATGAAAGACAAGGGCGAACGGGCTGAAAAGCATATGACTGTGCTACAGGGTGAAATTGAAGCAGCCCGCGCCGAATGCGAATCGCTTACAAACGAGATGGAGGAATGCCAGGAGAAGATACGCCAAAAACACGAGCAAGCCAATAGTTTCCTCCAAATCGTGCAGAATCTCAGCAACAAACGGGAGCAGCTTGAATACAGGCAGGACGCCGTTGACGAGCTCAGACAGACAATTGACGAGCTGCAAGAAGATGATGCGACCCTCGAGCGTTTCTTGGCCCAATACGAAGAGGGCATGGGTCGCTACCAGCAAGAAGCCGAGCAGTACAAGGCTCAATACGCCGAGCTCCAAAACGAGCTGACGAAGCATCGCCAAACCCAGTCGGCAAAATTGGCCGAGCAAGGAAAACACCAATCAGATAAAGATAAATATGAGCGCCAGCTGAAAGCAAGAGTGGAATTGATTCAAGAAGCCGCACGACAATACAACCTTAGAGGGTTTGACGAGGACCTAAATGACCAGCACGTACAATCTTTCCAAGACAAGATTCAGAGGCTCTTGACAGAAAAGAAGAGGGATCTGGAACGACTACAGAAAGAGAACGCTGCGGAATTGGACAAGGCTACAGGCGTCATTACAGAGCTTGAGGGTCGCAAAGCGGCCAGAACGCAGGATCGGGTTTCTGCAAAACAGCGGATGGGAGCCATTGAAAAGCGTACAAGTGTCCTGCAAAATGAGGCCGGGAGCATTGACGTCGACGAGGGAGCCAAGGCCATCTTGGATGGACAGCTTGAAGAACTGGAGTCTAGGCTCAAGCATGTTCAACAGGACATGGATAAGTCCAACTGGGATCAACAGTTGACCGAGGCCAACGACAAACAGTGGCAGCTAGAAAGCGAAAATGAAAAGCTAGGTCGCGAGCTTGTTGAATGTACAAGACTGGCATCAGAGCGGGCACAGCTTGAGCTCCGCAAGAAAGAGATGGCGGATCGGAAAAGAAAGCTTGAGACGCTGACCGAGACTTGGAAACCCAAGCTTGATAATGTCCTTGGATCTGATTGGGAGCCAGCATCGCTGGACTCCCGCTTCCAGTCGGTCCAGGGACGTCGAAGCAAAGCCCTTCAAGATGCACAAAAACTCCGAGACCAGACGAGACAGAAACAGCAAAAGGTTGAGTACAAGCTAAAAAATGCAAAGGAACTGCATGAGAAAAAGACCCAGGAGATGGCCCGGAGTAAACAGGAAGTTGTTGCTGCCCTGCAAAACGTACGCGACAATGCTGTTGTGGAAGACTATGTGGAAGAAGTTGCTGCTGTTGAACAACAAGTTGAAGAGCTCCGGACTGATCTTAGCCTCTTTGATGCTCTCTTTGACTATTATAACAAGTGCAAGCGTATGCTGGACACACAGAAGAGATGTAGGCTTTGCGACCGTCATTTCGATGACAGCCAGAGCGCAGCTCTCGATCGCCTTAGCAAGAAGATTGATAAGCACTTGGACCCGAAAGGCAAAGTTGATACGGAAAAGGATCTGAAAGAGGCTGTGGACAATTTGGAATCGTTACGTGCGGTTCGCTCAGCGTTCGACACGTATGAGCGGCTTTCTGCGGAACTGCCTGCCCTCCAGAGCGAGTGGAAAAATGCAGAAGGAGAATTTGAATCTCTGGAAAAACAGCTTGAGGAAGAAGACGCTCTTGTTGTTGCAGAGGAAGAGAAGCTAAGAGATCTTGGGGATCTGGCCAAAACAGTCACCAACATCTCTCAAACTGTCAGAGAAATCAAAGATGCCGAGGCTCAGGTGGAACGCATCGTATCTCAACAATCATCCGGCGGGGTTTCTCGTAGCGTCGACGAGATCCATGAGCTTCAGTCAGCTTTATCTGAGCAGCTCAGAGGTCTAAAGAATAAAATCTCCAAGCTCACGGCTGATAGACAGCGGATGAAGGATCAAATCAATTCACTCGAGCTTGAGAAGAGTGAGCTGCGAAACAAGATTGGTCGCACCGCAGGGCAGCTCGAGAAGAAGAAAGATCTTCAAAACCAGATTCAGACTCTCAAGGAGGATTACACCCATCAGCGTGAAGTGATTCAGCGAACTGATGAGGAGCTAGAAAAGATCGAGCCTGGCATTGCGGAGGCACGGTCGGCCCGCGATGAAATGCTGCGTCTTGGTCGATCCAAGGAGCAAGTCATCACCGATCAGCGCGATGCCATCATGAACTCGATGAGCGAAATTAAGATACTAGACAGCGATATCCAAGACTATGTTGATCGTGGTGGCCCAACCAATCTTGCGTCCAACCAACGGGCCATTGCCTCTCTCGAGACAGCCATCAGCACCACGGAGAAGGAGATTGCTGATCTTACCGTGCGGACGAACAAGCTCAAGCAAGACATTGACAGCGGGGACCGTAAAAAGAAGAATATTAGCGACAATATCAACTATCGCAAGCATTTGCGAACGCTCGATGTTCTACGGACGGAGATTGCAGAACTAGAGGATCGTAATGCTCACGAGGATTATGACCGCCTTCAAAAAGAGGCTCGCTCGCAGGAGAACATGTCCAACCGGCTGTTGGCTGAGCGTGGATCTGTAATGGGCACAATGAAGTCTAAGGATGAGGAGCTTGGTCGTCTCCTGAAAGAATGGGAGATGGATTACAAAGATGCCAAGCGGCAGTATCGTGAATCCCATATCCGGGTCGAAACCACAAAGGCAGCGATCCAAGATTTGAGCCAGTGCACTGCTACCGTCGACAAGGCGGTGATGCAATTCCACGCCATGAAGATGGCAGAGGTCAACCGCATCGCCAGCGAACTCTGGCAGACCACCTACCAGGGTACCGACATTGATACCATCCTCATCCGCTCCGACCACGAAAGCAACACCACCGGCAAGCGCACCTACAACTACCGCCTCTGCATGGTCAAGCAGGACACCGAGATGGACATGCGCGGCCGCTGCTCGGCCGGCCAAAAGGTGCTCGCCAGCATCGTCATCCGCCTGGCCCTGGCGGAGTCGTTTGGCGTCAACTGCGGGCTCATTGCCCTGGACGAGCCGACGACGAACCTCGATAGGGACAATATCAAGTCCCTGGCCGAGAGTCTGCATCGCATCATCCAGACGAGGCAGCAGCAGAGCAACTTTCAGCTCATTGTGATTACGCACGATGAAGAGTTTTTGAGACACATGCGGTGCAGCGACTTTTGCGATAGCTTTTTCAGGGTCAAGAGAGACGAGAAGCAGAACAGCGTGATTTCGAGGGAGAGCATTACCAAGATCTTTTAAGGGGTTGTCTATTATCTATCTATTTGGGCAGGATCTTGGCTTTGTAGCAAAATTCATTTGATCAACGACGTAGTTTTCATGTTATTCATAGTACTGGAGTTGGCAGCAAATATTTCTGGAAGAGATACTGGCAATAGTATGCATATATGTATAGAGATATATGTGGGCTTCCATCAAACAATACAAACAATCGACACCTGGAGTTAGCCAAGAGAAACTGATTCTTCGGCGTGCTAATATCTAAACGAAAAAAACAATGAAATAAGATGAAAATAGAGGGAACAAAACACAATCGGGTATCAGAATGCTCAATAACCCTAAACACAAACATCATGAATATGAAAAAATCAGTAAACCCAGCCCACACCCCATCCCATCATCCATAACTGGATAAAAACACAAAAGAGGAAAAAAACCACCCATAAGTACTCAACCAACCCAACCCCTTTCCTTTCCCAGAGAAGCCAAGGCTAATATTGTATAGCCAACAAAAGAAAAAAGATTGCGCTTTGCACCGCTCATGACCGACCTAAAAACTCCGTGATTCCCCCCTCCTCCTTTCCTCCTTGAAAGACAACACAATGATGATGGTAAAAGGGGCAATGAATGCATGAACACGCATACATACATCGCTTGCAAATGTAGGCAAATCAGATTCCCCCCTTCCGCATAAAAGTCAAAATAAACAACAAGGCCAAATCGTTTTTTCTCTAACCAAGTCATTATATCAAATCTCAGTTTGACGGGTTTTTTCTTCTTTTTCTTTTTGTGTTTAATTTATCCGCGGGCTCTTTCTTCTAGCCATACTCTCCGCTAGAGCCGTCAGGGGTAAATTCTCACGTCCCTCGCCAACCTTGTTATGTTTCCCTAAGCTCGCTCGCGCGGGACGGGCGCTGCGCTTGAACAGCGAGTTATCCGATGCGATAGACATGGTGCTTGAGCGGGGCTCAAAGGAAATGCCACTGGCGGAGAGACTTGTTGATACGTTGGGGTTGACTTCGCGCAGGCTCGCACTCCTATCTGAGGCGCTCTCAATCGATGGACGTTCTGGTGTGCTTGTCTTACTGGTCTTCCTTGAAGGGGCATCTAGGTCGGTAAAGACAATCGTATTGTCGTCGGCATCATCTTCTTCGGCCTCGGTTAGGCCAGAAAGGTCTTCATCAAGCTTCGAAAGGATGGTATCGTGAGTCTGGGTACGAGGCAAGTTCGTGGGGAACTGGTACTGTGCCTTCTGAGGAGTTTCTCCAGTGGGCCGATAATCCTGGAGGGCTGTCTTGCCAATCTGGTCGCGCAGGCCCGATAGTGGTTGGCATATTTGAGTAGTCAGAGGCTCAAGGCTGCTGTGCAGATCGCTGGCGTCAAGGTCCATGACCTCGCCGAGGTTCTTGACGCGATCAAACGTGGTCTTGAAGTGAGCGGAGATGTTGCCAAATGACTGATCCACCGTGTTGTACAGAGCCTGGAGGGATTGCGAATGCGTTTCATGATGGGCGTTGCTCTCAGACTTGGCACGAGCCACAAAGTCGTCCATAGCTTCCATCTGGATGTCCAAATCATCAATCTGAACACCCACCACGCGCACGGTCTCAGCATGCACCTGGTTCGCTGTGGTTCGTATGGACGTGCTGCGTTCCTCTGCCGCGTTCCAGTCGTCTTTCAACTTTGTCTTGATCTGATCGCGCGACTTCTTGACTTCCTCCAGCAGCTCAGCCTCTTTCTCGTCCCAGGCATCCATGCCTTGGTTGTGCTGAGTAATGGCGCCCTCGAGAGACGTGTTGTAGTCTGCCATGCTCTTCTGCATCTGCAGAGTCCTATCTGCGAATCGGCTCTCCTGTGTTTCGGCCTGGGTCGTGATAAGGGCCGAGATTTGGGCTAAAAGTTTTTGGCGTTCCTCAGCCCCTTGCCGCCTCTCCTCTTCCAACGCCTCTTGCATGCGAGTCGATATACTGGCATTTTGGAGCATAATAGTATTGGTGGCACTTTGCAACTGTCGCCTCAGGTTGTCAGACTCACAGCGCTGCGTGGTGATATGCCGGACAAGATCTTCAAAAATGGACTTGAAATCCTTGCCCAAGGAGCTGTACGAAGTATGGAGTTGTTCGTGGAAGCCGGTCATCTCGCTCAAGACGTCCCCTGCAATCTTCTCCGCAGCATGTGAGATGGCCTGAAGACTTTCGCTGACCCGCTCCTTGACGTTGTCACGAATCTCTTTGATTTCTTCCAATACCTCGTCCATGTCTTCTTTAGATCGTTGCTTCTGCTCCAAGAGCTGTCTCTTGGACTCTGCAAAGGTCTCAAAGTTCTCGTCCATGAAGGCTTGTGTAGCAGACAGCTTCTGCAGCTCTTCTTCGACAAATGTCTCCATTCGTCTTGATACGCTCAAGATTTGTTCTTGCTGCTCCTGTTGGAAACCCCGGACCCGTCGCTCTACCATTGACGTTATCTCAGCAACCTGAGACTGGGATGAGTTCCAAGCCGTCCGGTTCAACAAGTGTAGGTCCGATTTACGCTTGTTCTTCGCGTGTAGGCCATTGACGTCTTTGACCGTCTTCTGCAGCTTGTCAATCAGTACACTGCCGATTTCCGTTAGCTTCTCCTCCGTCTCCTCGTGAGCCTTGCGTAGTTCCGTCTCTTCTGCCAACGTTTGACGAGTCGCTGAGAGGATAATGTCTGTTTGATCGAGAACGCCCTGAGTATCTTCCAGCTGTGCCTTGGTGGCTTCATTCTCCTTCTTCATGCCCATGAACGAAATGTTGAGGGAAAAGAGCTCCTGGACCTTGTTCCGTAGGTTTGTTTCCAATGTCTCGAGCCGCGCACTCTGTTCCTCCAACACAATCCTCCTTGATTCGCTCTGTGCAGTCATCTCTTCATACATGTCGTTGGAAAGGTAAACGCCGTTACGTTGCCGAGTAGCTATTAATTCACTCTTCAACTTCTCAATTTCAAGAGTAAAGTCTTTAAGAAGCATCTTCTTCGTCATCATATGAAGCTGAGGCTTGTTTCGGATATTCTTCGCGCGGAATGCGTATTCGAGTGTGGATATCGTTTCTTCAAGGTTGCTTTTTGAGGGAGAAATGGTGGCAATGATGCATGTTTTCGTTCGGCCACCAAGCGAATCTTGCAAAAGACGAGTCAATTTGGACTCTCGGTAGGGAATATGAGGGCTGCGATCCACCAGAGCATTGATGACTCGCCCCAAAGTGAGCAGCGACTTGTTGATCAAGCCAGCTTCGGTGGCTCGCTTATTCTCTGCGCCTGATCTCTGAATGTTTTCGCTTCCGGCCAAATCCACCAGATTCAACTTGCCGGCGCTTACAAGCTCCTCCACCCCTTGGTCGTTGGGCTTCTTGACGTATGCCGTAATCGTGAAGACGGTGTGGCCGCGAGAACTCAGATCGTTGCACTTGGTCGCTGCCACCTGGCGCTTCAGGCTGCCCTCCTGGAGCACCTTGATTCCCTCGGCAGCGTTCTTGATGTGCTTCTCCTCCATGCCTTGAACAAGTGTGGTTGCGTGGCCTCGTCTTGAGGCGTCATCGAAAATCTTTAGCTTTGCGTTTTCATCGGCAGAGAGCAAATCCCGGAGTTCTTCGTTGTACAGCTCGATGAAAGAGCACTTGACGCAATTGTCGCTACCATCGATATCGAGTTTATTAAACAACTGCTGCAGGACGCGGGGAATGATGCCGGCCTCATCAGAGAGCATGCCCAGCGTATCTGACATGTCTCCCGACATTGTGTAAGTCTTGCCTGTCCCTGTCTGGCCATAGGCAAATATTGTGCAGTTATAGCCTGCGAGCATCTGGCCAATTCATTAGCACATGCCGATATGAGAGAGCGTATGCCGCTCCTGGAATCAGTTCAGGAGCAGACTGCATAGGAAAACCGACCTCTTCCAGAATAGGTTTCACCGTATCATCAAACACCATGGACTGGTCAGCGGCTGGCGAGAAAACGCGGTCAAAGCTGTAGGTCTTGTTGCTCAGCGCGTTGGCTCCCATGGACAGCTCAATGACCTTCCCCTTGACGCCGTCTGAATTCACCACCACGGCGCTGTTCTCCTTGACCTCCCGCTGGCTGCGCCCGCGACACCGCACCACGACATTGATGTTTGTTTCCTCGCCTCCACCAACCACCACGTCGGCCTCAAAGTCGCGCTCCTTGCGCTTTGTTCCACCTGCTGTCGCCGCCGGGTCTGCAGGGGACATGGCGCTCGACCTGTCGACCCGCGACGCGGCGGCCAGGTGTCGATTTGTTGCGGCATTCGAGGGTCTGGCGCTGCCCGGACGCGTGCTGCCTCGCATGCTGGCGCTGGTTCGCATGTTTGACGAGCTCATGGTAGCCCGAGTAGGATCTCGATCGGAACGTGTTCGAAGGTGAGCCATGCTGACGGCGGTATGACCACCACTGCCGATAGGTAGCCTTCGTTGTTTTTTTGTCTAAGGATGTGTATGGATATGGTGAGAGTGTTGTTGTTGATAATTCCTTAGGCGGGGATAGCGGTGGAGCCCTGGGCGATTAGGAGGTACCAAGGTACCTCAAGTCTGGAGTACTCGTACCTCCTGGTCAGTGCGCATGAAATCCACAAAGGGAGACTTGAGAGTTCGCATTTAATTACTCTTGAAAAGATAGAAAGATGCAGTCCAAATTCAATTCTCTTTAGCGAGGAGGGGCCTGGAAAAAGATATGTGCGAGATGTGGACATGTGCAGGAGTGGCCAGGGTGCCACCATTGAAAAAGACCTGTTTACGGAAATACACACACTAGAGCTGCTTGTAAGAAGCAACTTTGGGATGGTACAGAATTGGGCTCCGTAATTCTCAAGCCGCGGGAAGTAGAAATACAGACATTATACGCTTAAATGCCTCTATTATTTGGTCTCTGGTACCTAGCACAACATGACAGGCAGGGGTGGACCTTGAGTGGTTGTCGCCACAGCAACGGTGTTAGTTTTGATGATTATGTCATTCAAGATCGAGCTGTCATGGACTCAAACACGAAGAATCGACAGCTTGTCTTACATAGAATGAGACATGCATTTACATTTACTAGACACAACACTCCGTACTCCGTATCATCAATGGTGCATATCTTATTAGCGTCATAAGTAGTGAGTAGCGACCTCCAACTATAAACAAAATCTAAAGCATATGAACAATGTAGCCAAGAGAAGAGCTATGCTAAACAACTCATCATTTGATGAGAATATCTATCTCTGAAATGCTGGATATCTTCTTCATGCGTCTTTGCGTTCCCAAACCTATCATAAACTCCATAACCCAATGGAAAGAAACGAGAAATTAAAACTTTTGTTGTTGTTGCCGAAAGACGATAATATTTTCACCCTTTCACTCGGTAGCCTCCACGCCCTTCTCAACGTCGGGTTGCTTCTTCTTTGTGTCTTCCCTCTGCTTGAGAGATGTGAGGCCTGTCTTGTGCTCTGTATGTTGCTTGCTGAGTGTCTTCTGCTTAACAAAGAGGCTGATGAAGAGACCCAAGGAAACGAAGCAGGTATAAGCGATGAACATCTTTTGCATGGCGTTCCAGTAGGCTGTCTGAGCCACCTCTTTCTGATGGCCGTCAAGGCTGGCTATCAGGAATACACTTGACGCAGCCTCAGAGCCGGAAAATCTGGCGGCCAATTCGGGCCCGAGCTCTCGTTGCAGAAAGGCTTGCTGCTTCTGCATCTCATTGTCGAAGATGACACCGCCAATGACAACAGAAGTAGACGTTCCAAGTTGACGGAGGAACTGGAAGCTGGCAGTAGCGGCTCCAATATCACGGGGCTCAACGTTGGTTTGCAGGGCAATGAGAGGTGACTGGAAGTTGGGACCGACGCCAATACCGGCAATGATCTGAAAGATGATGATCTTGGCCCAGTTGGCCCTGGCACCTAGGTCGATGAAGAGACCAAAGCCAATGGTCATGATAAACAGTCCAGAAATGATGGGAATCTTGTAGTTGCCCGTCTTCTTGATGAAGACACCCGTGAGGGCAGATGTGAAGGACAAGGCCAGGACATAGGGCAAGATGTAGACACCAGAGAGAAGAGATGTGGCACCCAAGACGGCCTGGAAGTAGAGTGGAAGCCAGTAGCTGCCAGACATGAAGGTCATGGCGTGCATGATAGACAGGCCGTAGGCGGCAATGCTTGTCCTGCCACGGAAAAGTCGAGTAGGCATCACGGGGAACTTGGCCACTCGGTTCTCATAGATGCCAAAGAGGGCAATGGTGACGAAGCCAAAGACGATGAGGCAGATGACGGCAGCGGAGTCCCAGGGAAACTGAACTCCGCCAAACTCAAGTCCAAAGAGCAGCATAAGCGTGCCGCCAATGATGAGGATGTTACCGACCCAGTCAATGGCAGCCAATCCTTGCTTGACTGGCGTACGAGGGTTGTGCAACTTGAGGACGAAGATGAGGATGAGCAGACCGATGCCACCCAAAGGCAGGTTGATGTAGAAGCACCAGCGCCATGAGACCTTGCTGGTGAAGACGCCACCAAGGATGGGTCCAATGGCCGAGGCCAGGGCCCAAACCATGCCGAGGATACCAAAATACATGCCTCGCTTGCGCATAGAGAAGAGATCAGAGATGCAGATGTTGGGAAGAACGATGGTACCACCACCGCCGACGCCCTGAATGGCACGGGCAGCAATGAGCATGCCCATGCTGGTGCTGACAGCACATAGAAGCGATCCAATCCAGAAGATGGCGACGCTAACGATGAGGGTTGGCTTGCGTCCAAAGATGTCAGAAATCTTGCCCCATGTGGGCACGAACGCAGCGTTGCCGAGCAGATAGGCGCTTCCGATCCAGATGTAGCCAGCGCTGGAGCCAAAGTGATTGGAGATGGTAGGGATGGCAGTGGTGATGATGGTCATGTCGAGAGCAGCCAGGAAAAGCGCCAGACATAGGGCGAAGATGACAAGAAACGTCTCGACCTTTGTCCGACCAGCTTCCGGCTCGTCTGCGGGCGGCCCTTGCGCCGGAGGACCCCCGGCGGCCGGAGCTGTTGTTGAACCCGATGCTGATGCCGTCTCATCCTTTTCTAGCGTTGAAATGCCAATGTTGCTCTCCCCCAGCTCCTTGTCGACTCCGAGGCCAGCCTCAATGGCCTTGATCTCGCCATCTGTGCTGCGCGCGGGATTGACTGTGTCATCTGAGCTGGTGCGCCTATCCGGCGTTGTGGCTTGATCAACAGCCATTGTGAGGCGTCGATGGCTTGTGAGACACAGCTCGATGGGTTAGGGTTGGACGGCTGAGACTTTTTGGTGGAGCTTTCGCGTGGCGAGCGGACGCCGACTGCTCGTGGCGACTTTGTCTTGGATTCTCTCTTTCTTGGCTCTCTGCTTGGGAACAGAAAAATACAGATCTTTGCCTTGCTTTGGCAGCGGCTGCAGCAAGACAAAGGGGAGAAGTTGAAATTGATAGGGGAAGGCGAAAGAAGAAGAAAAGCCTGAAGAGTATGGGTAGAAGGGATGGTTGTCGACGGGGGACACTATTACTATATAGAAAGGTAGCGCTCCGATAGTCTCCCCCCTCCCCGGCAGAGAAGGTGAGAAAGAACCTCGAAATGCGTCAAGCATTCGCGTTTGTAATCAAGCGAGAGCCAGAAAAGAAATGCTACAGCTCGTCGGCCGGCCCACTTATACGCCGTTGTTTTCGTACTTCGTATGTACGAAGAGTGGGCTGCTCGAGTTCGGCGTGGGCTTGGCCCGATCCCCGGAACCCGGCACGGGACAAGCGCAGGATTTAGGCCTTGAGGATGGATGTTGAGAGAAACGACAATGAGCAGGATTGCTTGTTAATGCCCTGCCTAGAGATGAAAATATCGCCAAGATCAGCCTCGTGCGAGCTCAGGACCCGTGTATCGCCGTCGATGGCGCCCGTCGTTCCAGCCTATGCTTGGCGCGTGCCTCTGTCACGGCCGATTGGTACGATGTTTGCCCTTTCCGACCCCAGGATGTGCGTCCTGCATTCGTAATAATGGCCCATTCTCACCGCAAAACACGCCTTCCGGCCACTCTGCCGGTGTTGGGCCTTTTTCCTGTAGTGGGGGCGAGGCTTCATACCGGCCTGCAGGGCATCGGCCGAGAGCGGGTGCCAGCATTGGGCTGGTGAGATAGGCCAATGGCGGCGGCTGGTGAGCTGGATTTAAGGATTCGGCAATAAATTGGTTTCAAGGTTCTTTTTCCTCCCCCCTTTGATAGTGGCCGATGCCTGGTGAGCTCGAGGGGCTAGTGTGCAAGTGCATCTCCCCCCGGTGATTGCACAACTCCGAACAGCGAAGGCGAGTTAAAATAGACTACCAGCGCGCCCTATGGCGATTTTCATTTTGTCTTGTAGTCCGGTTGTTGGTTGACAAGAGGCAAAGCATTCGGTGTCCATCAGACAGCGTAAGATAGAATACCTAGGTAGGAATCAATAAGAGTTCAAGCTTGATAACCCCCTCGGAAAAAAAACAACTTACCTCGGAGCAAATCATCGTTCAAGCCATATCACAACATCACCACATCACATCCCAATCAATCACACTCGTTGCCCAAATTGTTTGCTTCCCCCCTTTGCGCTGGCTGGATGGACCCGGTCAGAGTCAGAGTTTTGAAGAGCCCACAAAAAGTGCTGCCCCGCGCGGCATTCTTTTTCCTGTTCAAGCCTTTTTTTCGTTCCCGCCCAGGCTAGATCCATAACGGGGGGAGCCAAGCCTTTGCAAAGTGGACGCAGTCATAGAGTAGCATTTTCATCTGAATTTTCTGCATGTGCTTTGCGGAAGGTGATTTGGCCACTGTGCTGTGCTGTCAGAGAGGCAACCCGGGAAGAATTCCCGAATCCAGAGAATGCCCAAAACGTGGCTTCACGACCGGCCAATCTCTGCCAGTCACTCGTTTTCGTTTTGCATGAGTATTTTCACCGACTTAGTAATAAATTAAAAGTTCCTTCCATTCACATCCACACTTCACACACTCAGGTGCAGCAGGAAGGAGCGCCATCGGAACCTGCCGTAGTGCCTCCCTTGGCATCTTATTAGCATCTTAGTAGTGCCTGCCTATATCCAGCAAAGTCAGCTCCAATGACTATTACGGCGAGGCAGGCACTCCACAATTAGCTCCTTGGGCCGCGATTCACCGACGTGGGAAGGAATTATTCCGTTCGGCTATCGCTGGTACGTACCGAGAATACGTGAATACGGCGTATTCCCCGATCTCGTTGAGTTTATTTTTGGTGTACTTGAGTATTTCACTACAAGACTCAACTCTCTCTTTTTACTTGCTTAGTACTGTAGCGGTAGCACGTAATGATATGTCTTGACTGAAACATTATAGGCTATAAGCTTACTCTGCCAGACAGTAGTTGAAGCAATACAGAATTTGAAATGATGAAATGTTTGGATCAGCGGCTCGGTGGCGCACAGCAAGTCAAGTGGCAAACGTCACATGTGCAAAACATCTATGCATCAACTTGAGGTTACCCAAGTTGTACTTGGTTATCTCATCTTCATCAAGCAACGATGAGAATAGATCCAAGTGATCAATATGTATCCGTAACCAACAAAAAACCATGCAAAGATACTTGATCAACACCATCAAGGTGAGCTTCATAGAAGTAAAAGATTATCTTGAAAGAAGAAGCTTATTAAAGCGCCATCACCTATAGAGCCATCGTTACTCCTCTTACATCTGCTCTCGAACCTGTCCATTCCATCTGTCTCTATCACCTTTATTCCGCAGTCATACAAAAGCTCTAGCTCTAAAAGACAATATGGACCTAAAACAAATCGGCCCTGTTAACATGGGCATAAAAGAGAGAGCTGTTGCACATGAAAATGCTCGCTATATAAGCATCATCAACAAAGCGCTCAACTTTAGCAAAGAAATCACCAACCTGAATGCTGCTTACAAACTCAGATTGTGTGCCGATATTGTCATACGTCAAAAGAAAAACGCTCTTGCTACGGCACAGAATATTTTCAAGTGTAATTTCGGCCGCCGTCATCGCGTTTTCTATTCAGATGGCTCTTCTACCACTACACCAAAACCAAATTCAGCGCCACCAACTGTCAAGCCTCCCTCAAGCATTCCATCCGGTGCTGCTGTTGTCTACAAGTCTAAGAGGAACGAAGACTGGAACATGAAATTCTTTACCCCAACCAGTCGAGGGCGAGACACTATCTTCACTGAGCTCGCCGCCATCGCACACGCTTTGTCAATTGCCATGGCAGAGAGGGCGCTTTACCTGGACGATAACCAAAAACACTCCAATGGAAAAGCCAGGTGGTCCAAAGTGACAATTTTCACCGATTGCATAGGCGCGCTGAAAAGGATATGCGAGCTTCGAGAGGGCGCCATCGCCAATGCCCAAGCGCTTTGCGACCCGCTTCTCCGCCATATCATTACCATGTCGCAATACCTCTACGACAAGGGAGTCCAAATCGAGTTGCGTTGGGTTCCAGGCCACTCTCATGTCGAAGGTAATTGCCGCGCCAACGCTGCCGCCCGATACGCAGCAAATCATCAAGATGTCGGCATGCTCCTCCCGGAAGGATTAAACTGGGACACGGAACCTTTGTCAAATGATATGAAAACACATGGCCCGCAACAACAGAAAATGTCTCCGAAAAAGAAAGGCTAGATATGCCGAGTAATCGACTAGGTGGTTTGGCCGAACCGATGGACACGCAATGAATCGGAGTTACGCAAGCAGTACAACACACAAACGCTAACATCTACATGAGCTCCAAAAACACAATTCGCTCTGACCACAAGGCAAAGTCACTCAACTAACTTACTTGGAGGCAAGTCAACATGAACATTCATGGAGACCCCGATAATTCCGAGATGGCAGTCTTTAAGGCCGATCGGAGAAGAATAAATGTCTAAATGATGGCATTAACTGCGAATGATACGGCTTTTCTGTTTAGCCGATGGAGTGCCATTGACAGCGGACCCCCGGCTGAACAAGAGGGACTTCATATGGGATGAATCATAGTCTACAAAGGACTTTAGTATAGAAGTTATGTTTAGGTACCTATGGTCAGTAGTATGAGAACATGAGGTCAGTTGGCTGTGATGCCTGGGTTCATGAAAAGCTATGCCGGTTCAAAATCTAGACTCTGTCCTTAGCTCAACTAATTCAGTAACAATTGTCAGTCAGGAACATGACAAAAGCCAAGTTGTAAACCCATCTGTATTAAGAGGCAAAAAAGCTATGAATATGAATCCAAAGTTAAAGCACGTTTACACAATGCCATGTATGATATCCCAACCCAAAACACCCAACAAACATTCCCAAGTAATAATAACAAAAACGACAAGCCTCAGAATCACAAATGTTTCGCTCTCGTTAAAACAATTAGTATGCAAAACCCCTCAACACTTCCTAGCTCATAACCCACACCCGAGTGTTTCAAAACTCAAAACACCGTCACTGTGTTAACATAGTCGTTCCTCAAGACCTCGAAAACCATTCCAGGAAAACCATACAGCGTCGTCGTAGAATCGCCATTCGCCTCCGGCCTCCTCGCGCCGCTCTCTTCCCAACCGCCGAGAAACTCGCAACTGCTGCCTGGGCTGTCGCCCCAGCCACGGTTCAGGACCATACCCCCTTGCCGCGGCTGAGTCTTGTCTGTGGGGTAGGCGCCCTCCCATTTCCTGCTCATGAGAGTCTCAATCGTCTTGAATTCCATCTCGGAGTTGACGGGGCCACTATCGCTAACCAAATCATCCAGGTAACTAATCTCCCAGCGACATCGTCGATGGCGGTTGAATTCGTAGGAGCCGGGGATGTTGCCGTGGAGCACCAGTTTCGTTGCAGCCAGTCGATCGGGAGCATGGTTCATGATTCCATTACCAATATCATCTGGTACTTGTGTCTCTCCCGGTGGCAGGCTCGAAGGAGGTACGGGCGTAGACATGAGAATGTCAAAGCCAAAATAAAAGTAGTTGTAGAAACACTCTCCAGACGCATTATCCCCCCCTTCGTCTTCTACTGCGGCCTCGTTATCCGATTCGTCTGAGCCAGTGTGCATCGACGACTGGTCCGTATCCGTCGACTCATCCGGCCGACCCAGATCCTTCACATTAGGGCGGCCATGTGTATTACTAGCGGCACGCATCTTGTGAATGACCATCTTCTGATCATTCTTACGATATATCGCATTCGGCGGCCCAAGCTCCGCCACAAGATCCTGCGGCGTGGTCTCCCCAAGAATGATCCAGAAAGAACTCGACGTCCATTTCCGAAATAGCTGGATCTTGCCACCGCCGTGAAGTCGAATCAAGGATACCTCATCCGGGTAAACGTCCTTTCCACGAGGTATGGTTGAAGTCACCTTGACGCTTGGCAGAACCTCCGTCCACAGCGTCGGCCGCACTTCCGCCCAAGAATTACCACTAAAGACAGCCATAGAAGTCGCAATCTGCGATGATGAAGCAGAAAGCAGCGAAACGACGTCTTTGTCGGCAGAGTATACAGAGGTGGGCACGGAAAAGTTAAAGGCCACGCCGGGATACGACAAGACATACGTCCCGTTGCCCTGAGATGCCGCCGGAGGAATGAACTCGCCCGCGTAAGTCGGTCCCAGCAGCCGATGGTAAATGTGCCGAAAGGTAGGCCCCGCCGATGATTCCCCCGGCACTTCGGGAGCAGCGGCGCCGGCTGGCCGTACCAGATCCCGATCCTTAAAGGTGATGTGGCTCTTTGTAAAGTCGATGACTTCGATCAGGCGGAGGCGCTGCTCGGGGCCGTCGAAGCGCAGCCTGATGCCGTTTTGTGGCAGCACGACGCATACCGGTTCGGTGACGGGCTGGTCTCGGGAGTAGAGGACTTCGAGCTTCGGGAACGCTTGCGGTTCTGCCTTGACCCGGGTCAGGACATCGTGGAGGGACGCGCCAAGGGCTAGCAGACGTGGTAAGTTGGGATCTTAACAGATTTTTGGAGTTTAGATTAGATTCTGCTTACTGAAGAACCCGAGAGCCCGTCCGGGATGAAGCTGTGCGGTAAAGAGCGACATGGAGAGAGATGATGAAGACGCGACAAGACCCAGGGGTCAGCGGGGTTGGAAGCGCAGTGACAACACTCTTGCACGAACGTATAGCGGGGCGATATATCAATCGTCGGTCTTTTGTTGAGCTGTTTGGGGGTGGAAATGATACGAAGGTATTCGTCGATAGCACGATGATTTCGGAATATTTGCTTATGCAGTAGTTATGAAGGTCCAAGAGGCGCTGGAATGTTCCTGATTAGGGCCGTCCAGCAGCTAGCAATGTCACGAGCTTGGAGTTGGCGCAGGGACCAGCAGCGTGTGATTGCCCCGATGACGGCATAGCGTGGGGCGGGAGATTAGATAAGCAATTTGATGCTTGTTGCTTGTGACTTGTGACTTGAGAGCATCTGATTTGCCAATATAGAGCTGAGACAGAGAGCAGACATTGCGTCTCTTGTCCAATAAAGGTGATAGTTTTTTTTAAATACACGTTATATAGTACAATACAGTTTTCCATGGAGGCAGGGCCTCGTGATATCAACCTCATCAGACGCCTCATTCAAGGCTTCACCATTCCTTGACCTCGCCGCTCTTGGGCTTCTGCATACGGATAACTTTGTCGCAGTTCAACAAGCACAAAGGATCAAAGGCCTTTTTAATCTACATCCCTCATGTTAATATTTGCATAAAAAAATCAGTATAAGAGAGTGACTTATATAGCTTACCTGGCGCATCGCATCCACCGTCGTCTCTCCAAGTTCATGAGGCAGGTAGTCTCTTTTGACCAAACCAACGCCATGCTCTCCCTATCAATAAGATCAGTAATTGAAGTCTTTTTCTATCTCTTGCTGAGGGTTTTCACTTACAGAAACTGTGCCCTCAAGCTCAACTGCCCGCTTCACCATCCGTGAAACAACCGCCTCGGCCTTTTTCCGCTGCGCATCGTTGTACAAAAGAATGGCTTTTCGACGGTCAGAAACATGCTTCATTCACCCAAGGATTCAGTCGAATTTAACTTACTGTGGAAGTTTCCATCTCCAACATGCCCAACAATCGACGCAAACAGCCCGCTCTTCTGAATATCTGCCTTGGTCTCCTCGATCAACTGCGGCAGCCTACTCATCGGAACGGCTACATCTCCAGTCCAGACCCGATCGCCCTCCTTCTTCGCCGCCATGGTGCTCCAGAGCGCTTCCTTTCTCGCACTCCACAGCTCGTCGCGCTCAGTCTCGTTTTTGGCAAACTCGAATGACTTGCTGCCGGCCTGTGAGGCGAGCGCCTGGACCTGCGCAATCTGCTCCTTGACGCCGCTGGGTGTTCCGGTAAACTTGAAAAACAGGGTAGGGGCCTCGGTCCATGTGCGAGAAGTGGTCTTTGATATGTTGATAACCTTCATCTGGTTGTCGTCCAAAATCTCCACCGCTGCAACGGGGATCCCCTTGCCGACGACTTTGCTCACGCAGGTGGCTGCGTGGCGAATCGAGGGAAATGAGCACACCGCAACGCTCATAGACTCGGGCTTAACCGTAAGCTTAAGCGTAGCTTCCGTCACCAGACCGAGAGTGCCCTCAGATCCAATAAAGAGCTTAGTAAGGTCGTAGCCAGCAGAGCTCTTGCGAGGGCGTTGCCGAGTCTTGAGAATCGTGCCATCTGCCATGACAACAGTCAAGCTAAGAACCCACTCCCTCATCGTGCCATATCTGTAAGCATTGGTGCCGCTGCATCCAGTTCCAACCATGCCACCAATCATAGCTCCGGGGCCAGGGTCCGGAGGGAAGAACAGGCCCTTCTCTCCAAGCTCCCTATTCAACTCTTCCCAACCAACAGCAGGCTGAACAACCACATCCAAATCATCCTCGTGCAAGGCCAGAACCTTGTCCATCCGGCCAAAGTCGATGGAAATGCCCTTCCTCGTCGGCGTGAACTGCCCCTCAATGCTGGTTCCTCCACTGTAGGCAGAGACCGGAATCTTCCTCAGGTGGCAGATCTTCATAATCTCCGAGACCTCCTCCGTTGAGCCGGGGTACACCACGCAGAACGAACGGTCGTCAGGTCCGGCCTTGTGGCTCGTCCAGTCCGATGTGGAGTGCGCAGTTATCTGGTCCTCATCCGTGCTGACATTGTCCTTTCCGACAATCTTGACAAAGTCCGCCCATGCCGCCTGCATGTTCTCCAGCTTGACGTTATGCGCCGGTGGTCTCGTCTTGGATAACGGCAAAGTCGAGGTCTGCTCAGGTTCTCGCGGCCAGTAAGTGCCCAGCCAGTAGGAAATGCCAACGCTCGATAGGAACACTAAAGACACCAAAAGTGTCAGCATACAGAAAAGAGACAGCTGTAGAGCCAGCCGCGGCCGTCACATACAGAAAGTCAGCATCCAATTCCTCGCAGGGTCGTTCATGTCCCTCCACTTCTCGTACTGCTCGCGCTGCTCGCGCTCCCTCCTCAGACGAGCCCCGATGCTGCCCATGACCTGGCCCTGGAACGACCTCCCCAGCTTCTGCTCATTGCCCTGCCTCGGCGCCTTGGGCTCAATCTCTGTCGCATAGTGTCGCGCAGCTGCTCCGGGTCGCACCGCAGCCAAGCTCCGCAGAGCCTGTGCGCGGCGCAATGGATGCGCTGCCGAACCGCACTTGAGCATTTGGTTGCGAATTCGATGCTATGGGCCCGTGGCCTGGATATGGGACAGATGCCGCACGCAAAGTACAGCAGACGCTCAGTTTGCAGTGTGGTTGAGTTGCATTGAAAATGATGGATGGCGATTGCGAAATGCGAAGCTTAGCTTTTGCAATGGTGGGGGCGGGCCAAAGATGTCAGTCAGTGCTTAGAAGATGTTAGCGGCGGGTCGGTGTTAGATTCGGCATTTCACGGTAGTCTTTCAACGGAGAATGAGAATACTGAAGAATTCAATGTTTATTACCTATTCTTCATTATGCCACACGAAATGCAAGAAACTTCTAATGGTATAGAAATCGAACCAATCAAACCCCCAGCACAATGTAAACAGATTTCCCTCAGCAATAGCCAACTCCGAGGGACCATGCCATATCCAATTTAAGGATGCCAAAATTAACCCAACCCATAACACCGGTAACCGCCCATTATGGTGTGGTTATGCGTATTTGAATAGCAGACAATATTCACAAACCCTGCTATACTCCATCTATAACCCTTCCTTAACCAAAACGCCAATGCCGAAGACAAGTCGTTGCTGACTTCCAACGACATCTATGCAGCTCTCTTGCTGTCATCCATGCGTGCGTTATGAGCCAAAAAACCAAAATCAAAGTAAAATCCAAAAAAAAAAGGGGGATGACCAAAAAAAAAAAAGGGGGGAAAACAATGGGCGAAAAAAAAAAGAAGTAACACCAAGCCAAATACAAGAGGTGAGGAAAAGAAAAAGAAACAAAAGATTGAGCCCTTCTCACTCCCAGACAAAGCGGCATTGCTCAGACGATACTCTATGCCCGATGTCCAGCCGAGTCGGTAACCAACTGTTGCCAATATGCAGATGTCGCTTCATCTATGGACGTTTGAGGCCATGCATGGGATTCAAAGTGACCTTGGCCATTGGCGAGCGTCATAGTACCGTCAGAGCCGTCGTTGAGTGGCCCTCCAAGCACGCCAAGAGTGTCAGCGGCGGTCCACTGCCCTGAAGCAACTGCATGGAGTGACGCATTGCCATGCGACTGAGTGGCATATGGAGCACCCGTGAAGCTCGCGTGCGCAAATCCGGGGAGCGGAGCCTCAGGGGGAGGCTGATACTGCGACATGTCGGGTAACGACATATTCGCGTGCCCGTGGAAACCGTATATCCGTGTTTCAACCAAGGGAAAGATTCCATTGCCAGATGAAGGCTGAACCGGTTGATAAGGACTCATGGTGCTGGCGTCAGGGCTCGACGTTGCCTGGAAAGTGAATGGGCTCTCAGGCACATTATCAAACGTCTTCATTGGTGAATAATCTTCCACGCCTGCTCCATCAAAAGACGACTGAGGATTTTGCTGTGGCTGGGTTTCCAACTCCCCAGCGTACAAGTTAACATCCGTATTGTCGACGTGAGGATGCTTGGAGGACAGCGTATCCACGTCGTCGACATGCTTCCTTTTGGCCTGTCGAGAAGGGCGATCATCGCGGAGCCTCTTCAAGACGTCCCGCGACAACACAAACAATGCCTTTTGTTTCTTCTCGTCTGGGTCCTTGCCTAATTCGATCAAAGCCAAAGCCCTGCCAATCTTTTCGTACTGGGCGCCCCAGCGGTCCTTCAACGACTCCCACTCATCTGTCGTGGGTGTCATGGCGAGCTTGTCGGCGAACCCTCCTGTTTTTAGAAGGCGATTCATGATCTCTCGTGCCTCCCTAGCCTCTTCAGGATTTAACCCCAAGGCATTCTTGGCGTCTGTTTGCGTCATCTTTGGCCCCAAACGCTCTGTTTTCGCAAAATTTCTGCACATGATATGCAAGGCTTTCATGTTTCTCTCGACGTTCTCAGGGGACGTACCCACTCTGGGGTATAATTCAGGGTGCTCATGCAACAGGTCCCTTATTGCTTCATCCCATTTTTCAGCCGTGTGGAATTTTGAGCGAATACCGCTGCGGTTGCAGATAGCCGTAAAAGTAATACGGAGTCGCGCAATTTGTTCGTCATCTATTCCCAGCATGCGTTTAGCCGCCGTAAGCGTCATTTCAGCCTTGCGACGACGCAGAGAATGCCCCGTGATCCTGTTTGGGCTCATCGCATCTCCAGGCTCCCGGGATCTTGGAGTAAAATACTCAATTGATGATGCAGATGAATAACGGCGAGGCACTATGGATTCATCTCCTGCGTAATCGCCATCAAAATAGCCCCCGGGCGAGGGTTGTGATATGCCGCTTTGGGTAGACTTGGACCTAACTCTGGCCCCTTGCCTATTGTATAATCCCATGGCCTTGCCCAGTTTGGCGACTTCCTGTTCAGTCACTTGAAAGCCCTCTTGTTGGAGCTGTTGGGCTATCTGTAGCCACGACAAGTTCAGCTCCCAAAGCTCCGTGACCCGATCCGGCGGGACGTCGGGCTTGACTTGGTGCTGTTTCTTGAGATACCCCCATTTCTGGATTTGCGTCTGCAATGCTCGTTTCCTACAGCAGAATGTTAGTTTCCGCTGCCGCCAACTACGTCCCATGATGTTTGATGATCCACGACACGCAGAGGGCGCTGTGGTTGATGGGGGAACTGGACTCGCCGATTTAACTTACTTGGGCCTGAAGCTATACTCGCTGGCTAGCTGAACCATGACCTGACTCAAGGGCCGGCCATCTTGGATATACAGCTGGAAGATGACTTCCCTGTGCTTCTCCCACTCATAAACCATTGCGACGGAAATGCGTGGGATGCATACCAGGTCAGATAGTGAGGGCGGCTGGATGCAGATGCAAATGCAAATGCACTGGCAAAATCCCAGTGGAGAGGGATCGCTGCCGCTAGGAATCTGGGATCTCTGGACCTAAATAGTGGTCCATACAGGACCTAGGTAGGTACTTGGCTGATATGGCAGGTCTAGCCTGTTTGGGGAGCAAGGACGTTTTATAGCACGCGGTACAGGCTGGTTAGGTAAGCAGAAATGGAGCTATTTTTGGGTCTCGGTGCAATTATGAACTTGTTTTTCACACGCTGCAAGCCACTACATATCAAGGCGCAAAGGGGGAAGAACGATTAAAGGACAAATATATCGATCAATTAGACGTCATTGGACAGGATAGGACTAGCGTCAGCTAGGCAGGCAATCGAAGCTGGAGGACAATGAGGCGAATTCTCATCTTTCCCATCTTTCTCATCATGAGCACTTATACTAGGCGGTTGTGGCTCTGTTTGACTTGTGAGAATTCGATCGCATAGCCCTGCCGCCTGAGTCCGTTTCGGTCCGTCAACTTCCTGATCCCATCATTAGTTCATTCCTCATTGGCCAAGTCGTCTGTTTCCCCCTGTGCCAATCTGCCCCCCACGTCATCTTCCCTAACGGCCGCACACATAGGTACACTCCGCCGGCATCTACCTACCTCTTTGTTAGCTTGGTACTGATTGTCATCAACTTGCCACTCACATCCTGACGAGTACCAAGCTAACAAAGTAGATGCTTGCGGAGTGTACTATAGCCATGATATATCGAGGACCTGCGGGTGTCTGTTGATCCCTGTAGCTGCTCAAGTTTTATGGCTGTAGATCCCGTGAGATGTGATGTGATTGATTGGTTTGGGGCCCTGCTTCAACATGACTGCCGTGGAGAGGGAAAACGTGGCTTCGTGCTAGATGATTTGAGATGTGATCTCCAAGACTCAACTCCCTCGATTTCGTTGAAGACATTCTGCACAACAGCATTAACACAAGTCAAGAGACAAATAAAATGGGATTTCGGAGCAAGGGCTCTTTGATCACCTCCGAGACCCAAATAATTCGCCCAACGGGTGCGAATATGGCTTCCAATGAGGCTAGGACCCCTGCTTGATGCGAAGAGAAAAAGAGGGCCTGTCTCTTTTTGGATGGGAGAGTGATTTTACTTATATTGCTCGTGTGATTATACTTTAGGGCGAGATTAGGCCCACGGAATACCTCTTTTTGAGCTTCCAAACCCACAGAGCATTAGGCTTTCCATATCGGCCCAGATATCCACGCCATCTTTCTCCCTCTCGGCATATTCACGGTGTATATCAACATCGAGCTGCGTAGTGTTCATGTTGGTTCCATTAGCTTTGAAGATACTCTCCACTGTTGGGGTTGAAGTTGATATGAAATATGCTCTTGGATAACGATCTCGAACTATCAAATCCACCAGCTCTCGTACTTAATGGGTCACAATTGTTGAGCCCAAATTTGGGTTCTGTTGCATTGTAGTACAGTTACATAGAGAGGCTTTGATTACGCGGCCATGGGTTTACAGTTTTTCTCCGTTTCAGAGTAAATCATGGAAGCAGGAGCAGTGTCGTGATTTCACATGCCTAAGTGATCACTGATATCAATACTACCGCTCCATGATCGGCGATATTTGAGGCAACAGCGTTATACTATTTAATCTAGAATATTATACTAGGCTTCAGTTACTTCTTCGTGAACTACCTTGATGGATGATAATAACAGTCTGCCTGTATTATCGGCTCTACTCGATTCTTATTCCTTCCATGCCATAAACGTCGTTGATAGGGGAGACATACCTATCCTATTCATCGCAGTGATATGGCTGCAATAGTCACCGGCAAAACGCCTCACATTATCATATTACAAAAGCGACTTATACCAATCGCAAACCTTAAAATTCCACTAATAGCATGTAAACTCGATCCAAACTAATCCGAATTTCGAGCGCCTCCAAGTTGGTGGAGACCTACCCGAGTACCGAAGTACAACATTCAAGGCTAGGCCCGAAATGATATAGTTCGGCTGCGGCAGAGTGTGGGGAGCCGAGGTCCACGGCAAACGCGTTGCAGACGGTCATCATGAGCTCTTGTGGACAATGAATATCTATCATCGACAAGAGATGATGAATCTCACATCTCATCTCATCTCATCAGCCATTGACTTCATTCCGCGGCATATTTAGGTCCCATACAGTCATTATAATACTCATTCCGCGCGCTCATCTCCCATCGAGTCATCTCAAACCCCCTAGCCAACTCATAACAATCTTCCACCTCACATCGACCTCCTCAACACCAAGATCCTCGCATATCTCACATCTACACCATCCCTCTAGAGAACCTCATCACCACAATGGCCTCCCCCAACCTCCCCTCCAGCTACAACACCTTCACCCTCCCCACCCTCCAATTCTCCCACCACCCAGCCTCCTCCCCGACCGTCACCCCCGTCGTCATCCTCAAGCTTCACCGTCCCGCCGCCCGCAACGCCTTCACCCAGGAAATGGCCACGTCCCTCATCGCCGCCTTCGACCAGCTCTCGTCCGACCCCCGCGTCAAGGCCATCGTCTTCACCTCCTCCGACCCTTCCAACAAGTTCTTCTGCGCGGGGATGGACTTCAACGCCGGCGGCCAGGCCTCCTCCTCGCCCGACCAGCACCGCGACGAGGGGGGGCAGGTCAGCCTCGCCCTGCACCGCTGCACAAAGCCCGTCGTCGCCGCCCTCAACGGCTCCGCCGTCGGCGTCGGCATCACCATGACCTTACCCGCAAACATCCGCGTCGCCAGCAAGGACGCAAAAGTCGGCTTCGTGTTTGGCCAGCGCGGCTTCTGCCTCGAGGCCTGCAGCAGCTTCTTCCTGCCTCGTCTTATCGGCACTGCAAAGGCCTTGCACCTGGCTACTACGGGCGGCGTCTATCCCGCGGGCCACAAGCTCTTCGATGGGCTCTTTAGTGAGGTTGTTGAGGCGGACCAGGTGCTCCCCACGGCGCTCAAGATTGCAGATGAGATTGCTGCCAACGTGAGCATGGTGTCGGCCACGGTGATGAAGAACCAGATCTACAGGGCGCCGGCAACACCGGAGGAGGCGCATCTGGTGGAGAGCAAGATGTTTTACTCGCTTGTCAGGAGTAATGATGCGAGGGAGGGCATTGAGAGCTTTCTGCAGAAGAGAAAGCCTGAGTTTAAGGACACCATTGATGAGAATGCTCCTCCGGGATATCCGTGGTGGGCGGCGGTGGACGTGAGGCCAAGATCAAAGCTTTGAATAACGGGAGTGGATGTAAAATTATAAAGAAGAGATAAATGTCTTGGTACGCAGCTGCTACTGTAGAGAGACATGATAATGATATGTACATGTATGTAAGCCATGTCAACAATACATCTAATAATACCATGTATCCAAACGAGTGAGCATATATGTAGTCACTCTCGCAAACAAAATGACCAAAATCTACATCTCGACGAATTAGCACACGATATCTGCAAACCGTCAGATATTCACCGAGCCTCACCGTCCCCCTCACCACCAGCCCACCCACTTCCCCGAGTGCAACCACACAAAAAACACGCTCCAAACCTCAAGATCATCGCTGCGCCCCTGGTGATCCCCATTAGGCAAAAGCCCTTTCCAGCGAATCACATCATTCGTTCATGTACAATGATGCCACTCCACTTGTAAACATGAACGACCTGTCGTTTAAAAAAATCCGTAAACAAACAACCCCAAGAACCAATCCAATCGCCTGCTGCATGTGACATCCCACATGCCCGCTTCAAAACAACAAAAACAAAAACATGCACACAAAAGGCGAGAAAACAGATTTCGAGTGCCAACTTGTTCGTATTCCACACCAGCTACTAAAACAACTACAGATTGTACGGATCCCTCGCCTCTATTAAAACCCCATCCAACCTCCGCCAAAAACTCCTCCCCAAAACCCACGAAGCGTCCAATCCAAGACACTTCCCCAAGCGATCCGTAACCAATCTCCGAACAAGAAGCCACCTTTGGGACAAGACCAAAATCGTCTTACTTTCTTTAAAAAAGTTTGTCCATGGTATTCAAATTTTTTTGGTGAAAAAATTCGGTATGTTTTGTTAATTTGTTGTTTCTTTGTTTCTTTGTTATTTGCTTGGGCTCCCAAGGAAAATTCTCCTTTCCTGTTTCTAACGCTCCAAAGCATTGATGCCCCCTAAAATGTGTATTTCCTCCTGTATGCAATTCGTAATGTGACCCAAAGCGAAATCAGGTCGAGTATAGAAAATTTTCATCAAAACTCAACAATATGTGTGTGAGTGAGAGATTAAAGAAAAAAAAAAGCTTGTCAAACATTTCCGCCCTTATGCTTGTACTAATTCCGGTTTCCGTAACGCCTCGCAGAAAGACAAGTTTGCATTTGTGATTCGCGTCAAAAAGGATAAAAAACGGCATTGCCAGATGCTGCGTTCGCCTGGGGTCTGTTGCTCCCCATCTGTATCAAAGGGCCGTGAGAGAAAAAGAAGAAAATTCATAAATAATGGAGATGTCGGCAAAATCCAGCATCTCAGCCTCGCTAGTAGTTTCATATGATTCGCTAAATCGATTGATGATGAGTGGTATGAGGGCGAAGGAGAAATAATTATACATACACACATACGTGTGGTGTATGTATGTCCTCAGTAAATGGCTGAGGTAATAGAAAAATGTGTTTTAGTAGCGGTAGGCTACCGATTAATCGAATCCAGCGGTTGAACGGACCCGTGCGCGTTGAGTGTAGGTTGTTGATATAATGTAGCAGTCGGAATTGGAAGCAGCCTGCGCTTTATCACTGCTCTTCTGAGAAGCCTTGAAAGGGTTCTGGCTCTCCTATCGCCTGGCCAGCTTAAGAAGGCGGGTTCTCAGCCAAAGCATGAAGGCGGTCCAGAGGCTGTTTGTCCTGCGCTTGGCCGTCTTGCTTCTGGAGGGGGCCTGGAACTGTGGCTCTTGCGCCTGGCCTCCGTTGAGCGGATCGGACTCGGTCTTTTCGCGGACGCTGGACGAGTTTCTCGCGCTGGAGAGGGTGCTGGTGTGCCCAAAGCTGGTCTTTCGCTTCTGAGCCTGCGCCCGCTCATTCTTGTGGGCTTCCTTGGCGGCGGCACGCTCCCGTTTGAGGATCTGCTCACGAGCATACTTTTCTTCCTTTTCCTTCTCCTTGGCCTCGAACTTGCGACGGGCCTCACGGACCTGCTCCTGGCGGGTGGATGTGTCCATCTCGCTCCGTGAGCGAAGGCGGAAACCATTCATGTCTAGAGAAGCGCGGAAGGGGGATGTGGGTGTTGTGGAGCAGATGGGGTTTGAGGCAGTCTTTTGCTGCGTGGTAGAGATGAGCAATGGCACGGAAGCGCCTTCGTTTGCAGTGGATTGGTGATTCACAGCGCCTTGGGTGAGACGTTGTACAGAGGGGCCCGAGTTGGAGCGAGTGGTGGCAGCCCTCACTGAAGGGCCATCTGAGCTGGTGCGCTGGCTTCCGGACAGAGATGGGCGGCCAGTGGCCGTTGGTTTTGAGTTGGGCGAGTTTGACCTGAGGCTGGAGGAGTATGAGAGCTTCTTTGTTGCCGCGGCGCCGGCTGGGTTAGACTCGGATTGAGAGAGACGCAGAGAGGTGGGCGAGGCCAGCGGCTCGTCAAAGTCAAGCTCGTCGTTGTCGCCGCTGTCGCTCTCGGCGATGGCAGCTGTCAAATCTCGCTGCTGGCCCGTCAGGCCGTTGTCCAGCGACACCACCGAGTTGGCGTACGAGTTCAAAGGCGGCGTCGAGGTCCGGGGCATCTGCCTTGAAGGGTGAATGAAGGATCCGATGCGGGCGGCAGTGGCTGAGACGGAATTGCCGCTGGTTGAGCGCGCATGAGAGGAGGAAAAGGTGTTTGCGCGACCCAGCCCAGGCGCCACAGGGCCGACATCTGTGAAGCTGACGTCGCGGACGAGCTTTGCGCCGGCAGCTGGCGCAGCTGGGTAGTTGGAATACAGCCGGCGGTCGCTGGTCAGGTCGTCGAGATCGCGCGAGCCAAAGTCGAAGGAGCTGTACTCGAGCTCGGGCGTCGTGGCCACGGGCTGGTCGCCCCAGCCGCGGTTGAGGTCCAGCGAGTTGCGCTCCGAGTGGGAGTGGACGTGGTGCAGGCGCTTGAGGATGGGCTTGACGACGATGCGGCTGCGCGACTTGGTGAGCTTGCCATGGCTGCTCAGGCCCGACGGCTGCGTCTGTTGTAATGATGAAGCCATGGCCATCTGGTGTGTGTGTCTGTCGTTTGTTGTGATGTGTTGTGTGGTGTATTAATTATGTGGACGCAACGCAGCTCAAAGCAACGCAGCTCAAGACAGACAACGCAACGCAACGCAACAAACGCAACAAACGAGAGGATGAGATGAAGTTTCGAATATGCTTCCTTCTGGGTTCTTGTTTTAAGTTTCGGATTGCACGAGAGCCCACAACTGCGGCCCCCCCTGTCGAAAAGCACCGAGATTCGTTTCGTCGGGTTTCCTGTAGCATCTACCTACACCGACTGCAAGCCATTGTTGCCGTGGTTCCTTGCACTTGTATGGATGGGTTTGGGGACGATTACACGGAGACGGACAGCGAGGATCCACCGGATGTACGCATTGGGCACCCGGAAACGCACCCCAAAGGACCCAAGGCAAAGGGCGACCAGGTTCGAACGCTTCTTGAACTGGACCGGGGGTTGGAGGGGAGAAAAGGAGGAAAACGGGGCCGTTCAAGGGAAAGGGGCGAGGTTATGTGATGCTTGGGATATGGTGAGGCCGAGGATGAGCGGTGGTCCGGGGGGGGGGGAGGAGGAATGCAGTGCTCTAAAAAGGACCTGAACAGGCACCGTCGCAGGCGCTGGATGCGGCGCTGATAGCGGGCACTGGCACTGTCGGTAAGGACCTGGAAGGAGGGGGCTAGCGCTACAGGAACAGGCCGGGGTCTGATTACGACGGTGCGGTGCTTGCGGCCAAGGCGGTGTTGGTGTTGGTTGGTGGCGATTTACACAGCACGATTCGAGGTTGGTTCGAGTCGAAAACGGATCTGATGGGTTGGTGTGTCTTGTTTCTCATTGTTGCTGTCGCAGTCGGGCCCAGAAAACGGTTCCAGTTGCTCCGGCCTGGCGTCTTGAGATGGTCCGTTTCGGGCACGGCAGCGCCTCGACGGAAGCGTGTCAAACATCAACAACACGCACTCCGACCACTAACACGACGATTACGATTACAGCGATCCTTCGTGTGCCCAAGCCCTCTTCTTCCTCGTCATCTCTTTCCCCCCAGCCTCAATTAATCAATCTGTCTCTCCCGGCGGCACGTGGACGCGACAGAAAGCGGCGAGCAACAGCGCCAGGCCGGGGGGCCGCCTTCGACAGCGTTTCCAGACGTTCCGCCGGGCCAACAGAACCCTGGGCCGTCGCGATAGCTGTGGGGATGCGAGCAGGGGGTGAGGCACTATTTCCATTCAACGAGATTGATGTACCGCCTGGGTAATATTACTCGTGGCCTGTTGTAAATTGCTCGTACTCTCGTCTACCATTAGCGAGCCCAGCCGTACGAGTACTTTCTGTAACGAGCGCCGAGCATCAAATTACAGCAAGGGCCTGGCTCTGGTTCTTCCATTTCCATTTCCAGTTTCCCAGGTCCCAAAAAGAAACCATTCATGTCGCGGGCGACTCTTCTTGTCCGAAAACAAATTACCGCAAACTTGGGGCGGTAATAAACTTTGCCCAAAGCGACAAAAGTTGGCAAATGTCTCAAGCCAGACGCCGTGGCCCCGAAGGCGTCCGGTTCCCATCCCATGGGATTCTCGGAATGGCGCCCGTTTTTCGTGCTTTTCTTTCTTCTTTGTCTGCCCTGCTGCCCTGTTGCTTCTTGTGCCCGTTTTCTGCCCCTCTTTTTTAAATTGACACACAGACAGGCTGCTGGTCAGGAAAGGCGGTCATGATGCTGGCCCCTTGCTCCTGCCTGTGGCGGTTTGCTGCACTTGCGGGTCGCCGAACCGTCCCATGTACTTGGTACCCTCAGATGGGGAGGGCGGCAGCCCGGATTACATTGGAAGCTAGATCCCGGACTCCGTACCAGGTACAGCTAGCTTGTTTACGAAGCCACTTTACATTAATCCACGATCCTTTGATATCGAACGGTGGCTGCGCCTCGAGCTGGGCAAATGAAATAATGCCGCTTCCCCCATCTTGCTATCTATTTAATGAAAAGGGCCACCAGCGCCCACACGCAGAATGAAATGAATCGTGATAAAATGAATCATGAAGTCATTCATTGATGGTTGATTAAAGCTCATCACCGCCCATTTCCGGGTCCCCAATGCCATATGCACGAAGTACATACGGACATCGGTGCCTACGGCTGGAGACTCCCTCGCACGCACAGTCCAAGTACTCCAGTCCTGTAAAAGCGCGCAGCTGCAGGCGAACACCGCTCAATGCACTCGCATGGCATGACGCGATGGAGAAAGATTGAATGCACGAGAGAACTGATGGAAACATGAATCAAATAGTAGCTGCTAGCTCTGCCGGCCAAGCTGGAATTTGCGCCGTGCTCTTGAGTCTCAGAGTCCACCGCCAACGGCCAACCTTGGCCCTCCCCGCTTTGCTGCGTGTTTTTCGTCTTGCCGCCTCCCGCGACTGGCTCCAATGTATCGTAGCATCGCCTGGGCGGTAATACGATGGAGACGGTAACTATTTACTCGTACTGGCAACAAATAGTTGCAGCTGGATGCATCTCCCGGGGGCCCAAGACAGGGCCATGACCGATCGCCAGTTTTTACGGGCTGCTATTTGGGGCCTCTTGGCGGAAGCGAAAGCGAACCAAGCTAGCACTGTGCAGTCATAATGTCCAGTATGATTGAGAGACATTGATGCAATGCCTTTCTTGCTGTATGCACCAACTAATAATCCTGCTTGAGCTGCCTGCAGGTAGGATTCTATTATCACACTCACACTCAAATTTAGGCGCTTCCTTGTTTCACTATTATTACCACTGCATCGCATACATCATTCACTGCACGTATGTATGTATGTGTTCGTATGTATGTAAGTTGTGCTGTGCCAAAACACTCACATAGAGTAAGAATATGCGTGTCTCAGTTGAAGCACCGCCCAGGAATTCTGCCGAGTTGCCCCGGAGGACGGCATGCAGCAAATCCGGATTGATTCTCGCGGCGGCGCGCCAGAACGCTTCAATCTGGCGGTAAATGATCTGCATAGGCCCAGCAGCTGCTGCTGCTGCACCGGTGAGCTGTTCCTGTTTCCCGTTCCTGTGCCTGGATTGGATCGCAGGATTACATACAGGCAGGGAACGACACGGCATGGGACGAGAGCCATATGCAGGCAGCGCTGCCACCGCCTTTCTCTACCGCCTCGCCTCCGTGATGGGGGGCCCCGTTTGTGATAAGAAAAGAAACAGGCAAAAAATAGGAAGAAAGAAGAAAAAAACCTCAAGCAGTCTCTCCTTTCTGCTCCCTTTCTTTGCCACCTGCACCCCTACCAGCAGCAGCAGTAGCAGCAGCGGTACGTACTTGTGCGTGCTCGTACTGTACAGGATTGGACAGAACTGGATATGCGCGTCGAGGCGGTGGAAGAGCAAAACACATGATGTCCAGCACGACGTGGATGCAATACGGGGGATGCAAGCGCCCGAGTGACATGCCGACGCACCTCACATTTCAGTCCTTGAGTGACTAAGCCCTGCTCGATGCAATGGGTTCAGCTTACATGGCCATACAAAGACAGAGAGTGAAAACGGCAGTTGGGAAAAGCGACTCGGATTCTCCCCCCGCTCGTCCCCCCGCCTCTCTTGTCGGTCTGTGTCTCTCTCGTGTCTCTGTTCCCCTCTCTTGTCTTGTCTTCTGTCTGTGTCTGTGTCTGTGCCCGCTTCACTTCCATCGCTTCCGTCCATCCATCCATCACCATCTGCCCATCTCTCGGTGTCACTTTCAATCTACTACCAACTAACACTGGTAGCTCCCCTCCAAAGCTAGCTGCGCTATCCCACGCCATTCGTCCGGGGCACTCTTGATAGCGTCGCCGACTAGAACAACGACCCGCTCCAGCCGTCAACAAACAAACTTGTGGCTTGTGACAATTCCATCTCGGCCACTCATGCCGCGGCTCGCTCGCCATTCGCGGGCCGGGAGTGACGGGACCCCCCAAAAGCCCGACAGCTTCGCTTCAGCTTCAGCTCTTCTTGTCTTTGTCTTGTTCTTGTTGCTCGCTTCTGCCTTGTTAGACGAACCATCAATTGCATTGCAACCACTCGGGGCAAAGCTGCCCCTCCATTTTAATCTACGCGTAGTACGAGCACCGTTTACTTATCTTACGATGGCGTTTGCTGTTGTTGCTCGGGAATTATCCTGTTTTGCCCATCGCTTGCTTTGCCCCCATCACGTTCTTGTCGTCACTCGTCTCTCATGATTTGTCCCATCCCGTCCCTTTATTGGCCCGGCTAGCCTCTCCCCTCGGGCGCGGCTCAACTCGATGCAGCTTTCGAGTCCGTGCCTTGGCCAGAAACCATCAACAGCCTCCTCAAACTGCCTGAGGTTCCGGCTGTTTGGCAGCCAATCGCTCCATGCCGCTGACCACCACCCGCCGTGCGCTACTGGATCGTTCTGTGCCCGACTCGGCCCCGCTGGAGGTCCGGCGATGGGATGCTCGAGGACAATTTTTCAAGTTCAAGTGAGAAACAAAGTAAATGTGCCGCCAGCCTCAAAGCTCATCTCAGCCGCACAACGGCAGCCTCGCAAGGCCTTGTCTGTCTGGTTCCGTTCTGTCCATACACTCGCTACACACTTTACATGCCGGCCAAGCCACATCACATTCCCATAACGGATATCCTGTACGCTCATTCAACGTAGCCGGAGTCACATGAGCCCGGCTGAGGATTCCAAATGGAGGCCGCGATATTAATTCCTCACTATCCCTCCTGCTAGGCGCTCTTATCTCGTACCACAGCTTTTGAGCAACAAGCAACAGAGTTCCTCATGTGCCCGCAGCTCCGCCCCAACTCTGCTTCCATCGTCCCCTTTGCTGTGCAAAAGCTGCCAAGAAGGACGCGTTAAAGTGCTCCGCCACTAAGCAGGTCGTCACCACGCGGTCTAGTCAGCTGGTCAAACAGCTAATATGATACTGTTAGTACATGTATCCTCCAATCTTGGTCCATGCGACGTACATGTGCTATTGTTTTGTTTCCCCTCTCTCATCGATCAGATCACCGATAATGCGAGTCACTCAAAACCCCTCTTTCACTACTTAGGCGCTTGTTAGTGTCCATTGCGGGGGACAAAATTCGTTGCGATCGTGCAAGTAATGGTCGATTCTTGGAGAGCAAAAAGATACCAACGGACTGCTTTCTCTAAGCAGACTAATAACTTCGTAAGTAAGCTAGAACTCGGTGCCTAGTGATGTGATCCTTTTGTCGCTTGCGATAACTACCTGCTTGTAATTGCCACCCCGAGGTCCGTATGTATGGTTTACAAATAGCCGCTTAGACTATACAAAATCCATCAATAGACTGGCTGAGCATCTGTAGTATCAGTAAATCCACGCTACACGGCTCACACGAGAAGCCGCGACTAGATATGTCGCTATGAGATAATCCCAGACGCTAAGCACGTTTAGGGCTCTTGATTCCTAAACTTCCTATGTAGTTGAGATGACTATCGTAACTCGAACTCCTCAGCCAGTCTTGGGCTATCGAAATTCTGCAGCTCCTAGTTTAAGACACAGTTTTTTTTCATCAGGCCTTGTCATGAAATGCCATCTCAAGTATTGGAGTTGTGTGTTGAATGGGAGGGAGTTGTACAACTAGCACCTCACGTACAAGCAACTGCAGATGCATTTAAAGTGACAACTAGTCTTTGTCAACATTGATTTGCAATCGCCATATACGCGCTTACCAGTTAGCCATTCATGCAATTTAATTTGGTGTATTAACAGCTTGGAGATTGAATGTGGCACCACCCAGAGCCTGGAGGCTGCTGCAACCGAGACGAGCTTCAGATACTCGGCGCTTGTCCACCCATCATTGCTTCCAATGTCAAAGGGATCATCAGCCCACGTATTTATTGCCTTTGCAATCTTTGGCCATGTCTTGGAATATCGTAACTCGGCTTCCCATTCTCTTGAAAATATCGCCCTTTCGAGAGCTGGTGTCATGACGAAGAATTTGATTGGGACCGGCAAAGTTGGCAGGTAAACCAGCCACCGTTGTTAAAGGCGGAATAGCTGTATATTCTTGGGATATAAATCTAGCACAGAAACGTAAAATGAGCTCTCGAATAGTGGACATCCCTTGGGAATCTCAAACGCTGAGATATGGGCGGTTGCAAGGCCTAGAGCAACAGCTTCTCTTATAAAATCCATCTGGCGATTATATAAGTAAAGTATTATCAATAAATACGTAAGTAAGGGAATAAATAAACAAAATCAAAGGTATTTAACTTCAATGCAAATAAGAAGTTCTATAACTAAATTTCTAAATATAATAAAAATAGAGAGAGAAAATAACTATATAAGTAGGGAGTAAGGAGGAGGAGTAACTAGGTGCACAAGTAATAAGAGAAGTCCCTGATATCTCTCTTTAATGCTCTCTTATGTACCCGACCACCTTCTAAACGTCGTCGTCGCCAAGCTGCCCTCTTATTCATCAAATTGGTACTCTGGATCATTCCACAATTCATGCCCTACGAACTCTGACTTCAAGAATCGCACCGGGGTTGGGCATATTAGAGATTTTGTGCGCAACATTTGCAGGGCGAATCGCCTCCTGGCCACGATCATCTCCTGTGCCGGCAAGCCTAAAGTCAAAATGAAGCAACAACTCAACAAGCAAGTTCTTCACTTCGTAAATGGCAAAAAAGCGCCCAGGGCAGGCGTGTGGACCATGTCCGAATGTGAGATTGTCCTTGGATCGTGGGCACATCTGGATTTGATTCTAACGACGTGAAGCTTACCAAACCAGTCGAGGCCGCTTGATGCTTCGATTCAAGTCCAGGGAGCTCTCTCAGCCTCGCGTATCTGAACCCATCAAAAACATCTGGCCCAGCATTACCAGCTTCCAAGTTGTTTTCGGAGCTCAAAGACGTTATTCGTTGTTGACATGCTTTTTTCACGTCAACGTCAGATATTCATATGCTCCAAGATAGCAATAATGGTAACTCACGCAAGTCCCTGATGAGGGAATGTTATACGCGTGCCCTTTGGCAGCTTGATTCCGTTTGAGAAAGTGGCGTTGCTCAACAGTTTGTAGGCGGGTGTCACTAATTGCGATCAGATTGAGGTTTCTAGAATGCATGAGAGTCCTTCATACCGAATGCAAGGCTGTTGAAACGTTGACTCTCCTTGATGAAGCTGTCAAGCTTCTTCATCTTTGCGAAAGCTGCCTTCCCAAGATAAATGTTGCCGTCTTCATTCTGCTCGCCTTCTTCTGCAACTACAGTTTCAACCTCTTCACGGAGCTCCCCGATGTACTGAGGACGAGACGCAAGATCGAGTATAGCCTGTGCATAGTCAGTCGTGCTAATGCTCAAAGTCTAGGCATAGTTTCTCACCATTGCAGCTGATACCTGCGATAGTGTCAGATCAGATAGCCAGTATGCCTAATGGAGCTCAGGCCCTTAGATAGCTCTCTTACAATCATTTGATCCTCACCAACTCTAGTGGCGGTTTTGTGGGCGTCTGGGATATACTTCAGAAGCCAAGATATGAAGCATCCCGTAACAACCCAGCCTTAGATGGTCCGTCCATTGTTTTCTCCGAAGCAAGGATCTCGGCAACAAGGGGCCTCATCCATGTCTGAGCTTTCGTCATGTATCCCCTCGCTCTCCACACAGAGCTCAGGAACGGTGCCGCAATATTAGACAATACTGGACCCAGACCCAAATAGTCATCTTGAACTTTTGAAAGGGCCCTTGTGTAGTTTATGGATGCATCAAGCCATTCTTCGCTCCTGCTGAGCGGGCTTCCTACAAACACCCGTCCGCTGATCAGTGCGATCATCCGCAACATGGCCGAGTTTATGTTGACTGAAGTCCATTCTGACTGTATGTTCAACTCTTTGAAGGCATACTTGGTCTCATCCTGAATAAGTGGCAGAACAATGTTGAGATTCTTTGAAAGATCTTGACGGATGGCAGAGTAAATTTCCGTATTTTGGACGCGGGTCCAGTGGCCCATGAAGCGTTCATTCGTCTCCGCGCTCACGTCTGCCGCAGGATGTGCTTTCGATTCCATATACATTGACATGGGCAGGATAACAAGTTGTGGGTTGGCAGGGATAATGAAAGGAGAATCTGGATACTAGAATGCTATCAGTGTTTTGGAGGTGGTAATATCAAATATCCATTGACTTGCCTTTTCAAATCCTTTCAGAACGGCCTGCGAGAACTCGCTATCGCTCGCAGAACCCATCACGGGAAAGTCCAGCTTTGGAGATCTCTCTCTAATGAGGAGTCGAATGAGCCAGATTGCGGCCCCAAACAAGGCCGCAACAACAATTTTGTAACCAGACATTGCTCTTAAATGCACGAGTGATGGAGTGTTCTCGATATTTGGCATTCCGAGAGATGGAAAGCGAACAGAGGAAGAGGATTATAGATGTACTTCAATGGAATTTAGTGTTTCTAAAGTCAGGTATCGTTACATAGTAGACACTGTCCGCGCTCCGCGGAGTTTAGTGTAGTCATGGTTAGGTTAAGTGGCATGTTATTCCGCGGATACGAGATATACCCAAGAACCGCAATCTTGACGGTGACATGGTGTGAAAGGACGCTCGCAGCGAAATTACAAGAATACATCCAATGAAATTCAGATATAGCATTCTAATGAGACAGCGCGGACTTTACCTCGAGCTTCGCGACTCGTTTAGGGCCGGGTTGAAAGTGTCTGCTAAGTGAGAAACCTGCCGCTATATTTGATGGATCCATTTCCTACATACAACTGTTCGCAACATGAGCCACCTTGTCACGGCTCCAAGGCGGCTATCATGCCTATGATCTCATCTGCGAGCATAATTACTTTCCCGCTGCTTCAAGACACTCCTCTGGTTTACGATAGTTGCCTCTATTTTACGATAATCTACCTCAAAGCATATAAGTAGATAGAAACATTAGCAATTTGCAAAAGATTGCATTCCATATACGGCTATTCACTTGCTACACTACGTAATTAAACCCTGTCGCGCAACTATTGAACAGGTTCCAAGCTTAGGAGCCTCTGATATGGTTAGCAGTCCTTGCCATCGATGCCAAGTAGAGGAAGAGGAGGTAGGGAACGCAGGACAGCCGAACAATACAGCCGCACAATTGTAAGCATAGAGGTTCAATTTACTATAGCCTAAAAAAGGAAATAGAAAACATTTCCATATCAATTTTGCAGGGGGCCTAAATGGAGTACGAGGTCCTGCGAAGCAATGGCTGGATCAATCGACGACCTCCTATCTTTCTTTTGGAGAGCCGGCGTCTGAAGTGCCGGGACTAGCTACGGCCGAAAGCACTCGGCGGTTGAGAGGAGTTAGTCGGCGCCTGGCCTGTTATTAGTGCGTCTATTTATTGCCTAGTAGGATATTATAGATTTTGGTCCCCGTGTATGAAACCCTCGTAGGACCTCTCCTATGGTTTCATTTAGTACAGACGACGTCTTTTTGATTAACTGGCTGTCGACTTCGATAGCCTGGATCGTGCTGCCGGAGCTGAGCCCATGAATCCGTAGTCAGATCGAGCTAGCGAGTTGCATCTAACACCGGCACATCCGAGCACCATGGGCCGGCACTTGATTCCAAACGAAATAGCTAGGATCACGAGCTTACGCACAAGAGAGGTTCAGCTTGTGATCATCTGGCGAAGCTAATCCTGGTCCCCGAGCTTCAATGCTTGGGCGCATCTCTTACAGCTCAGCTCACACCAATCACCTACAACTCGCAGTCGTAGTCGTAGCGCATGATGGAGTTATGACCAACATGCGCACACCTCCAGGTGCTACAGTAGTTACACGGCAGCTCGGGGGTTAAGACTGCCGCTCAGTTCCGTCAAACACTACCCGCGGAGACTTAACTCCAGTCTCTCCTGTAAATACTCGTATTTCGGGCATTTATTAAGTAGGTACCTAGTAGTTGCCGTTCGGGTAGGGGAGCTACAGCGGAGAATCTGCAGGACCCCTTTACACAAAATAACTGCTTAGTCTTTGACCTTTGATGATACACAAAGGGAGAAATGCAAGAGTTCATATCCTTTTGCTCAGCTATAAGGCTTCTGGCCTTTCCTAATTTATTTAAAAAATTATAGAAAAGAAAAGGAAGCTTGACTTAAAGCATACCTCCTTAGAAACCTAGAGTATAGTATAACTGTTTCACTATGCCTCGATCACATAGTATAAGCTATTGCTTTGGCTTGGGTTATAAAAACCTTGTTGGGTTATAGCCTGGTCAAAGGTTATTTAGTAGTTAAACCCTTTACAGTATAGTTCTTGGAATTTGGGCATCTCTTTGGCGGGGTTTTTATTTTCCGGAGGGTATTTGCCTAAGGGTTTTCCTATATTAGCTAGCGTGCCTAAAAATAGTCTTTTATATAGACTACGTTATATATACCGACGGTTGGGGGCGGAAGAGGAGAGCACTTCCGTCGGAGCAAGCAAAATCCTGTAGATCCATAATTTCCTTTGGGGCCGGGTGCTTTCATTCCGATTCTAGCAAGTTTTATCGTCAGCTTCGAGTGGTTTGTGACCCAGCGTACACAAATCCCCCCTGCAGCAGCATCTCAATCATGGCCATAGCTTCTTTATCATCTTCAACCACAGTCGGCTCAGGCCAAGATGTTGACGTCGAGCAACAGTCTACTACAGATGTATCAATTTTTCAGACATATAATGGATCACGCTGGTGTAACCGCTGAGGTTCTAGATGATAAAGACGTTGGCGAGGGAACTGCAGAGTTGCCCTATCTAGTCGAATTTCTACCAAACGACACTTACAATCCTTTGGATTTCCCTTTCGTATACAAATGATGATTCATAACAATCATACAAGCTAGAATCTTCAGATCTACATGAATCATTCAAATAACTTCCAAAAAAGAAAACCTCTTTAAAGAGGCAAGGGGTGGAAAGAATACAGCGCCGCCTATCACAAACACATTATAGTGGTAGACCGGCGGTGTCCTTTTTGCTACCGCATGAGAAGTTCCGCAAGCTAAGATTGCCCGTCGTATTGACTTAATGCCGGGCTGGTTAACAGGGTGCCGGAAAGTCCGCGGGTTCTAATACACAGTTTTGAAGCATGATAGTTGGGCGTGATGCCGGAGATAAGGTCTTGTTAGCCGTCATCAGACGACATAAAGCAGACTTTGATCGAAAGCACGGAGTATAAAACTGGCTGTCTAAATTGCCTCACGAGTGACATTGAAGAAATGCTCGGGATCTTTCCGCTCCAACCGAGAAACTTGTCATTATTTATCGCTAGATTTTATCATCCATCTCACTCTTTATAGGTTTTGCCCCTGATGGTCCCTTCAATCCGGCTTCCACTTCGCCAAGTCGGCAAAAATGGCGCCTTTGCTACGCAAATTGGCTCTGGGGCAATGGGAATGAGCGTGGCCTATGATACTGTTTTGTAAGTCGTAAATAAAACCATTCAACTGACTGAAACTCAATGTTTAACATGGCAAAGGCCCTACAGAAGATCGGCTCAGGGTTCTCGATCGTGCCTGGGAGCTTGGCTGCACGAATTGGGACACTGCTGCTCTCTACGGCGACTCAGAAGAAGTTATAGGGGAATGATTTAAGCGGCATCCTGAGCGCCGTGCCGACATTTTCCTTGCAACAAAATTTGGTTTCAAGAAGACCGATGCTGGGATCATAGTTGATGCATCCCCGGAACATTGCTTGGAATCAGCAGAGCAGAGCCTCAGGCGCCTCAACGTCACTTGCATCGACTTATTCTACATGCATCGCACAAATGGAGAGGTTCCTATAGAGAAAACAGTTGGAGCAATGAAAAAGCTGCAAGAGTATGTGAAACCCAGCGTGTATTACGACATCTGCTGATACTATCTAGTGAGGGTAAAGTCAAGTATCTCGGTCTCTCTGAAGTCTCCTCGAATACTCTCCGGCGTGCCTATGCAGTCACTTCTATATCAGCTGTCCAAGTAGAGTACAATCCTTGGACCCTTGGTATAGAGGGCTCATCTGGTACCTACTTGCTGCAAACTTGCAAGTAGCTTGGCGTCGCTGTATTTGCTTACTCGCCGCTCGGCCGTGGCCTCTTGACTGGCCGTTTCCGATCAATCGACGACTTTGACGAGAATGATTCGAGAAGAAGGTATGATCGTTTTCAAGGTGACAACTTCTCTAAGAATCTCCAACTTGTGGACAAGTTCGACGAATTAGCAAAAACAAAGGGTTGTACACCTGCACAACTTGTCCTTGCGTGGCTCTTAGCCCAATACGAAGCTCTTTTCGTAATCCCTGGAACTAAGTAACATTGAGTATCTGGAACAAAATGTTGGAGCAGATGATGTCAAACTGTCAGGAGATGAAGAAAAGGCGATTAGGAGCTTGGTTGAAGAAGCAGGCGTCCATGGGGGTCGAAATCCGTTCGCCGGATCCTTCCACGATACTGTGCCACTAGAATGATTTGGTCTATCCTGATGATATTAGCTTTGACTGAATCTGAGACGCTCAACGGCTGTCCTTCGCCGATGCAAAGGTAGCAGGCTTGTATTAGCCCTATCAGGGAGGGGCACCGTGACATATAGGTAGGTAGTCATGATAAGAATTCAAGTAGCGTCTATGGACTTTCTAAGAAAGAGAATTCCAACGATCTAAGGATTTCTATATATCTCAAGCTCGCTATTTAACAAGACAACCTCTTGGCAGGCGCCGTGCCCTAGACCAGACTCAAGCGTTAATACTGCTATGACGAGATGTGTCTGTCGAATGTCCCTGGTGCGATGTCTGTTGACTAGTTTCGATTCTTTTTTTGGGGGGTTTCTTCTTTCAATTGAGCTGTAGGATTAAGGAAATGCATGATATTAGGAATCTGGAAAGGAACCCCAATTCAATATGAATGCATTGAGTTGAAGAAAAGGCAGTGTTTGCTGGTTTGGAGATTTTGGTGCGTGTCAAAGAGCTGTCCAGGCCACACATACGTGGTGGTAGTTGGGCCCCCGTTTGTTTGCTTCGAGCCCAATTCGGTGTCGCTACTTCAAGTCACGCAGATTCAAGCTTTGACGGTATACGATTTCTTGAATCACTCATACTGTCACGCCAGATCCGTCCTCCGGGCTATCCTCTCTTGCCTCACTACATGTAGTAAAAACAATAACATCGGGAGTTTCCAAAGGCACTAGATGGCGGCATTAGCCTTTAAAATTGGTGTAGAAACATATCTGAAGAGTGTTTTGGGTGCGCTCCGGGAACTCAGCTTTGAACAACTCGTGCATCTTTTTCCGAGTGAATATTGGCCACCTTCAATGCTACGAGGTAATCATTCTCGGCTGAGGTGAAGCAGTTTCTCCTCGCTGAGTTTTTTTTTAACCCAATCAGCCTCTTGTACAGTCTGTTTATGGTGTTTTTTATGCTCCTTCCCCGTTTGTATACGTACCTTGTGCTTTGCGCTAGGTTCAGCAACAACTCTCCCATTTTGAGCAGTACATGCCTTAGAATCTAGTTGAACTTGATTAGACCTGTAGCTTTGAAGCAATCCAAAGTTGTAATTGACGTTGAAACTGCCTTGCAGTGATGCCGGCCAACTATCTTACACAACAGTCTCACTCATCTTCTTCGGAAAGCATACCAGAATAGACCACCTCGCGTGTTCTCTTGTCACATTCATTCGTATGACTATGCCCTCGGAACAGCCGACATACACGTCAGCGCCCTGAACTTGATGACATTTGACTGCACATACATAAATACATAACACATAATACATGATATGTATGTTGGTTGACACCTCCAAAAAAAAAACCAACAGGTCACAAGCATCCGTATAAAAGTATAATTGTCATAACCACGCGTCTTCGTGTTCTCGTTATTCACAATATGACTATTCACATAAACACTGCCACAGCACTCCGTAAACCAATAATCCTCGGCAACATATGACCAATCCCAAGGTACCATTCCATCATGACACATCACCTCGCCTTCATCGAAAACCAGTAGAAAAAAATAGGGCGCCACATCCCGAACGCACACACCCCTTCCAATCATCTCAGCTCATCGTATTATTTTCTTCCCTCCCCCGTAGAGCTATCCCCTTTCACCGATACGATACGATACAGCCCACTCCTTCTCTCTCTCAGCTGAGATGAGAAGCACATCGCACGCATGAGAACGCACGAGGTGGCGAAAACACAGCAGCCATCTCTAGCTCTTACAGCACCCATAGCTCTTACATAACCACATTTGGGGCCAAATCTTTGCGGCCGTTTTCGTAGCGCGCCCTCCAGAATTACGAAATACGGAAGAAGGGGAATCCTGGTTCCTCCCAAGTTGACAGATCATCAATCGATAGCCGGATCTCCCGTCGTCATTTTGCAAATCCCAGTTTTGTTGTGGGTGACGCAGACGATGGTGGTGGATGTCATCGGCTGGGCGGCGGTTTTCTGTCCTTCGTTGACAGGGCTGAAGGGGAGGCGTTACACACACACACACACACACACACACACAGACATTCATACTCACACTCACATTCACATAGAGAAGGGCTGTTTACTATAGTAGTCGATGTGGTCACCAGCTATTTGTTACGACACTTGTCTAGCTCAATTGAAACAAGGAATCAGATAATGGTTAAGCTGAGAGGGGAAAGGACTTTGTTTGTTCGGTTCCTCTGCTGAATGCCTCGGGATACAACAACACAGCCGGCTAATGTGAAAAAAAAACAAGATGAGTCAAGTGGTCTAGTTCTTAGTCGTGTGCCTTCTGCCGCCAAGTCATGTACATGGGATACACAGCCTACATGCTGTGGACAAGAGCAATGCAATCGCAATGACAGCAGCAGTTTGCGAAATCACAAAAAACGATGCCCGTCCATGACACGTAGGTTCATCCAAGACGGGCAATGCAATGCAGATGCAAAGCGCAAAGCAGAGCGTGCCATGCAATCTGGAGCCTGGCATACCAATCTGTCCTCGTACTCGTACGTTTTTGGCTCCATGCACGCTTGATGCCGGATTCCAACATTTCGGCATCACGACGACGTCTTCTCTCCCCTTCTTCACGCCCCCTCCATCTCCATTCCCCCATCTCGAGTTTGAGTCCCCTTTTTTATTTCTCCTCATCTTGGGATCATGGCCCCCACTGGCTCCAAGGCTCTAGCTCGGTTGTGTTATGCACAGAATACCGTCTAGGCAATGCACACTCCCTCTTCCGGGCAATCCTCCCACCTTGCCTCATCCATCGTGATGGCCACGATCCATGACGGCCAGCAAGCGAACGCCTCACCTGAAAAGCGATAAGCCCCGACCTTTGGCGGAAGAAGGAGGAGGGGAGGGGAGGGGAGGGGAGGGGAAGAAGGGGAGTGGAGATGACTCTTTTGTCTCTCTCTCTCTCCCATGCCCATGTCCACTCAGCTAATCTGGACTTGACTGCCTCGCTTCTGCTACTCAACTTGTACAACACTCATACACATACACACACGATGCCCACTTGCACTGCAAAGCATGCCTTGCTGCGGGCAGGCTGGGGTCGCATTATAGCTGGCAGAGGGAAAATAGCATCAAATCAGGAGATGGATGCTGCAAACGCAAGCGAGGGACTGTCACCAGGGCCATGTCACTGGCTGGTCAATTGACAAGAACGCTGTGCGAGATATAATTCCCCTCCTCATCTCCGCGAACAGCTGCAACTCGACATGATCTCGACTCGAACAACACAACAACACAACACATAACCCGTCAAGGAACATACATGGGATGGTGGGTACTGTACAAATGCCTGGCAGTTTGAGGGCCTCCCACATGTATGCTAGCCCCGTTGTCTGCGTGCGCCGGTTGAAGCCAAGTCAAAGCTTACAAGGGCACTCTATCTTGCCTACGTGCTTAGCTGTAGATGCACCTCACGGCTTTCGAACTCGTTACGTGGACAAAGCGATCACTGCCGCGCCTTCTCCTGCCACCTGCAGCTTTCGGCCTTGGTGGCTCAGCTTGTACGGTTACTGTAAGCATTAATGCCCTCCGTATCCAGTCCGTTTGCGCCGTCAGCTTATTAGCAAGCTGGATTATTGTGCGTACAGTAGACGGTTTTAGTCCCGCAGTGTCTTTCCATCCCCGCGTTTGCAAAAGCTGCCTGCATGGTTGAGCCGACTGCGGAGATAAAGGACGACCTGCGATGCATTGCGATACGATGGGCTCTCCCTTTGGTGGATATCAAAATGGAGCTCAGTTCCCTCTCCTCTTTATACCTGCGCGCAACATTTATCTGGGGGAAGCCGCCCAACTGCCGCTACCGCAAAAGAGGATCGCGAAAAACAATCGGAGGAGGGGGGAGTCGCTCGGAGGGACGCCGTATCGGGGGGTCAAGGGCCGAAGCCGTTGGAGGGTTTTCCAGTGGCTAGTGCTGGCGGTTATGTACGGTAGGTGGTAATGGCGTTGCAGCATGATGCGATTCTTGTCCTATCAGTCCATGTTGACGCAGTTTTTTGTTGTTGGTTCTAATGAAGATTTTTTTTTTTTCTCCGTCTCTCGCTTCAACGCCCGCTCGGGCAAATATCAAAGAATGTTGCCAAGCAAGTAGTTTTTCACTGTGACGAGTCATTGGAAGTTGAAAATGGCTCCTGTTCTAGCACTTTTAGCCTTCCGGACGGACCGGCTCGTCGGACACCGTTTGCTCGACGGTCCAAAGTTTCTGCTTTTTGACAGTTATGAACTGTGTGAACTGTGTTGAGGCTTGCGGGTTTTGACTTTCCAGCCAATGAGCCCAGCTTGACTCTCGTGAGAGAAGAGACAACAACGCCACAGCAGGAATAGGTAATAAAAACAGCGTACTCCGTATAATCCACACGAAAGAGCAGCAAAAAAAAGAAGACGATGTAAAAAATTGCCATTGGATACTCGGTGGTCTTCTTGCAGGGTAGGCGGGCACGCCAAAGCAAGTGAGTGGCACAGGCGCGAGAGAAACAAAAACTTATGCGCCTGTTCTGGCGTCTCGACGACTCACGTTTCAACGGCCTAAGCTGCAACAAGAGCCGTGCAGAGCAATATCTGACCTGTCGGCTACAGATGCAGCCGCATCCAGTTTAGCTGGCAGTACATGAGCAGCTACTCCGGAGATACTTTTGGCTCTCAGCAGCAGTACGCGCACAGGTACATACTTGCAAGACCAGAGTCCCGTCAATAATTAGCCCAGACGCAGGCAAGGCACAGGCACAAGCACAAGCGCAAGCATCATGTATCCTGTATGCGACACATTTCCTCTGTACACGTAGCCAAAGCTCATCCATTCATCCAACGGCCTCACGTCCTGTCTCCCTATTTCCCCCACCAAGCTTGCAAGCGACGGACCAAACCATTGAACGAAACAGCAATCGCTGGCCTTTCGTGGGGGAGAGACGACCGCCGGAGATTGGGCTAGCTGAAGCCGAGACCTCCACAGACTTGCTGCGTTGTTCTGCCCTGAATCTGCTTACTGGAACACGTTTGATGCCGTGCAGGCTACTGTGCGAAAGGAGCGAAAGCGAGATACGATGCGATGCGATGCTAATGCACTCAAATCTCAAAGAGTGTTGTGCCTTGGTCCAAGCATGTGTCAATGGCTTCAACGGAATGTAGCAAGCAGGGCGACAGTCTTGCTGTTAGGGCCAGCCACCTGAATCAAGTATTAGTCCTCGTACTTTGTAATTACCTACAGTGTAGTAGGTCTGTTTAGCCCAGTTTGTTTTTCTGTCTCTCTCAAGTCAGTGCAGATGATATAGCCATCTTCTCGGCGCTGTTGGTCGTAGGTGGTGTGTGACAACGTAGATGGCATGCATTATCCCGAGCAGCACTTTGTCTTTCTTTGCCTCCTTGGACCCTTAATTTGTGACTCCGACTTGGCTTTTGACGTGAGGGCTGGCCAGGTATCTCTTCTCGTCCCGTCTGCGCTTTTGCCTCGAACGACCATGGAGAAACCATGCCTCTATGAGCAGGCAAACCCGGCTCGAATGGTCAAAGGAGCGCCGCTAAGGCCAGCCACGCTGCTAACACTCGCCTTCTCTCCGCATTGAAGGAGGGGCCGTCATTTCGCAGCCATTGCTTTTTTCGAAATAATTACCTATTCCATGGGCTTTTTTCGCTTTTTGTCATCGGCTCGCTTACTGCCGCAAGCCAGCCGCCCGCCGCAAAAAGAAAGGTGTTAGTCTAGAAGAAAGGAAAAAATCAGCAAATAAAAGATTAGTATTTGCGTGGCTGCTTCCTTCTGTCGTGCCACGAGTTGGTGGCGGCGGCAAGGGAAAGTGGTGCATCGCGATTGAGCCCACCTCAGTCATTGAGCTGCATATCGAATGGATGTCGGGACCTTTTTGGGCTCGCTGTGGATTACCTAAAGGGCTGGGCCCTGCATATTGGCCAATCTCAGCACACCCTTGCCTTCCGGGACCCAAGAAAAGCAGCAGCATTCAAGCGCCGAAACCGAGCAAAATACGCGCACAAGACCGTGAATATGACATGAGCCGACGACCTTGCACAATACCCAAGCGCAGCATTTATCGTTGGATGCGACTTTGCGTTCGGCCAAAACACCCCGAAACGCCCCAATTGCTCCGAACAAGTCGCCGCTTCTCGCACTATTTGCGGACGGCCAGACCCCTCTGGGCAACCGCAATGTCCCGTGTCTGCCCGGCCTTGTGGATATCCGAGACCCTTGAGGGGTGGCTGGTCTTGGAGTCTTGCAGCCTCATCGGACACTGGAAAACGCAGATGACGCTCGCCTGGTCGGGGTGTTGACTCGAGTATGCATGTCTCAGCCTCAGATCCGATCTGAGGATAGACGAGAAGATGGAAAATCAAGAAAAATAAATATCCATCCATCCATCCATTGAGTAGTTGGCGCCCCGTCTCCATGGATGATCCCTGATGATGGTGATCCGTCATCGATGGAAGATGGAAGAATAGTCGCTAATGTAAGACATCTTTAGGACCAAACAATCCCCTCATCACAAGCACAAAGCGCTTCAGCTCGTGGAGACGGCGCGACCCCAGCGGCCGCCAGCAGCGCACAAGCCAATATGGGGTGCGGAGCCGCTTCTGCTCGCCGTGTCTCACCGTTCGTCTCCATATTCTGCCCTATGTACATACGCTTGGTTAGCTAGGTGTGGACTAGCACTTGGCTGTATATATCCATGGATACTACACGAGCACAGGACTAGGCAGTACTGTATTCAGCAGGTAGGGGGGGAGGATCCTAGTGCGTGTATCGGCCGGTACTCGTCACATCATGATCATCAGCGACGCGCGCGAGCTCGGCCCCAGCGGGCACATCAATGGGTCTTGCGCTCGGCACGAAATAGCTCGAAATAGGGCCTCAGATCAGCCCCATTCCGGTAGCCTTAGTCGGTACACGGGTCAGCCTGGACCATGACGCTGGATCGCACAGCCTCCTTGCTCTCCAGACGGGCCTCACACCAGTGCCAAATTGGTCCCAAGTCTCTTCACTTGGACTCAGCAGCACGACACCAGCTCACATCAGAATCCCTTCAAGTCCAGTGACCACAGGTTCATGTGGCTAGCCGCCACAAGGCCGATGAGATGGAGGGGGGCTGGCTGGCTGGCTGTATTGATTCCTCTTTGGGCTGTCTTCTTGCCCTGCTTCGCCCGCCGGGTCGACCAAGGCTGCCAGATGACCTGGCCTTCGCTTCCTTGCCGGCAAGGTCAAGGGGAAATTTGCCCTGCACATCATCACCCCAGGTTTGACGTTACAACGCGGGTACAGTGAACGAGGGATGTCCACTTTAAGAGGGCGTTTATTTTCTCTTTTGGCAGGGAACGGCCGCCGAGGGTGACATGAAAGGCGAGAAGGAATGGGCGTACATATACACGACCTATGTATAGCACTTGATATATCAGCCGTCACTCGCATTCCCCAATCTAATCTGCCTGTTACCTCAGCGCGTACGACAAGGCTGCTGCCTTTCTGACGAGAGAGAACCGCCACAGCTCATTGGATGCTGCACAAAGACGGCTATGGGGCTCATCAATTGGCAAACAGTCCCCTCGTCCTTCTCCACCGCGTTAGCTTGGACCTGCGTCTGCATGCTGCATGGTTGACGGAAAGCGGTTTGGCGTAGCAAGATGCGAGGCCAGGCTACCAACGAGACTAGCAGAAGGGGGGAGGGTGGTCGCATCGCAGCACATCGCATCGCATCGCATCTGCATCGCATGGCATGATGGTCTCCACGTCTCGTCCGGTCTGCCTATCCAAGCGACCTGGATGCCGAACAGCGCACAGCTTCATCTCTGCTCCCCTATTACTTACATTAACCACGCAATCC